TTCGGAGGGAGAGGGGGGGGTCTAAAAAGAGGAACTCGCCAAACCGGGTCAACATTCCGTTCTGGCATCCGACCGGGGATGGGCGCCGCGCTTCGGCTTCGGCTCGGGTACTCATTCTGAGCCTCGCGTAGCGAGCAGGAACTTTCGACGACGGGCAGAACGCTGGGAACCTGCAGCAGCGTCTTCTCGTCTTCGTCTCCTCATTTACATGGAACTGTCTGAATCTGCCCACTTCGACGGGGTCCGCCCGGCGGTCGCTCCGCGGTTCGGCCCCCGAGTTGCTCCGCGCGTGACGGAGACGCTGTGCGGAAAACTTGGGCTGCGGGCTGATTAGTGAAGTTGATAGACGAAGCGATAGACAAAGAAGACGTGGGGAGTAGGGAGAAATTCTACTGGTTGAAATGGGTGGTTCCTGTAGACAGGGTTACCACAGAATTTGGAAAATTAAATTCGCTGTACTTCCCTGATTTTCCTGCACTGGGAAAAAAAACCACATTGGATCTAGAGTCCAGACTCTTGAAAACATCGACAAGAAAAAGGACTCTTGATTCAATCAGATTTAAGCTTAAATCAAAGGGAAATCCGCTCAAATTAAGAGGCTTGCTTGGCTCTTGATTTCAACGGTCCTCTTTAATCAAAATTGGACGATGGTAAGATTTTGATCAGAATAGAGTGCCACTATTCATCACTTCCTGTCGCACGAAACATTTCTGCTAAGTTTTCATTTTAAAATTAAGCAAAGTAATGATTTTGAGACTATGATCCCCGACACTTTGATGGTAATTTGTTTGGGAATTTGATCGTGTATCGAGACCTTAAGGTCCTGTGCCTTTAAATTTTTATCACGCTTTGCCGTGCGAGAGATCGCTAAGACGGGAAAATGCGGGAGTCACCTCAGAGACTTTAACGCAGCGCTAGAAAAGTAGACGTACCGATAAATGAGGGTGCCGATATTCGATTGATTTATGATACATCAACTATTCATCACTACACACTGGAAAAAAAAGTCGCTTGGATCTAGAGTTCAGACTCTTGAAAACATTGACAAGAAAAAATACTCTTGATTCAATCGTATTTTTGCTTAAATCAAAAGGAAATCCGCTCAAATTAAGAGGCTTGCTTGGCTCTTAATTTAAGCTTAAATCTGATTGAATCAAGAGTATTTTTAATTTATTTATGTTTTTAAGAGTCTGGACTCTAGATCCAATGGTTTTTTTTTTTTTTTTTTTTTTTTTTTTTTTTTTTTTTTTTTTTTTTTCCAGTGTGGCACACTTTAGTGAAATTCTCCAACAATTGAAAAAATGCCAGATTGTTAAAAGACATACCTAGTTAAAAATAGTTTTCAGGCAAAATTTGTTGTTTGAAACGTTAAACCTACTCGAGAAAGCAAGTGAAGGTGAATTGACAATTTTCCCTGACATTTCCCGGCATTCCCTAACTGTGGCAATCCTGTATAGACTAAGGGAGAAATGATGGACTAACTATAGGTGTTTCGTGGACGTCATTAGGTAATTTATCATTTTGTCCATTGTAACTACCCGCTTCCAACAATAGGACCCCTATATATCCATTTCCTCTTCTTTTCCTATAGTTTTGTCTATCAATTTCAATAATCGGCCCGAGGGTTCTTCAGCAGTTTGGAGACTAATCGATCCATCGATAGGGTCTGGTTTCTTCGCACATTTCTTGGGGTGATTCATCACGGTTTCTGGCGTGATCGAACTGACATGTCTTGCGATGTACCTATCACATCGATTAAGTGAAAAGTCTCGGCAGATTTTGAATTTTCAGCCAAAAAAATGGACGATAGTCCCTGCGCTAGAGGCTAGAGAATCATTTTGAACCACGAAATTGGCAAAATTCAGAGACATGACGGCATTTTTTGGCTAAGAATTCACAATCTGCCGGGATTTTCTTACACAACCGATGCTGTATATCGCACGCCAGTTCGACTGCGCCAGAACTAGTGACGAATCGCCTAAAAAATGTTTGAGCATCAGGTACATCATGCTGTTGTCCGTTAGGTATTTGCACACAAAGGGATCGAGAAATATTTTGAAATACGGTCCAATCTCGAATAACCGCGATTCGGCTTATCCGCGGTTCTTTTCGGTGACTTTGGCCCAAAAACGCTGTAATTTTATGGCGCAAACGTCTGTAAAAAAAAGAGAGAAAAGAAAAAAATTCCATCCAGAAATGAGGGGCTAGTGGAAAAGGTGGTATAAGTGCAGTTTTTTAAATAAAATTACAATATTGATGATCTCAACAAAAACTACCTAGTCTTAAATTTTTCCTGAGAAAAATTCACTGCGAAGATCTAATTTTTAAGCATCAAAAGGCGAGTGTAAAATGTCTTTCCACCTTAGGGCTTCGTTTACTTTTGTAAATTTAAACACGTAATTTTTAAAATAGCAAAAACTGCACTTGTACCACTTTCCCTCCAAGCTACTCAAATAATCTTTACCAAAAAAACTTCTTAGAGGTGAAATTTGTTCATTTTTAACCAAAAATTAAATCTCTGTCTAGTATTTTACAAGTGGTTTGATGTTCTATAAAAAGACAGCGTTTTTTATCCCTTTCCCTGGCCAAAACGCTCAGCTTCAAATATTCGCAAATTCCGATTATTCGCGATGGCTCCGGTTCCAATCATCGCGGATAATCGAGACCCTAATGACTCCATGTCATATGGACGTATTTCTGTCAAACGGAACTATGTGCATTAAGACATGAGCCCTGAGACCCATAAGCATATGTGCATCACAGGGCTCACGTCATAATGCACTTAGTTCCGTTTGATAGAAATACGTCCATATGACACGTTGATTGATCCATCGACTACTAAATCCTCCTCTGAAGTCCTTTAGATCCGTCGTAAGAATTCTTGCTTGCATAACATGAACAATATTGAGACCAGGTGTAATGACTGCGGGCAAGAAAATGTACTGACGGAATAAAATAAAGAATACCCGACAGTCTGGATATTTCGTTTCGAAGTTTTTTCTGGAATATTAACATACAATTTTTTAACACAAATTCCTTAGGTACGTGAAGCGGTCCTCCTTACATTCAAGCTTTCAGTGGATTTTTTGGGCTGTATTTTGAGGTATGCATTTTCCAGCGACATTTGATTAAAAAAGGCTAAGTGCCTAATCTAAATAACCTATGGCCCTACCTTGATCCAAAGTAATTAAACGTTTTTCTTTGAAAAATGTGCAGTTTCATTTTTCTTTTCCCTTTTTGTTGGAGTGCATTTTAAGAGGATGATTTTTGAAAAAAGACATCTGTTCGGGACTTAAGCAAATTTTGTGCAGAGGGGAGAATTACAGGGGCAAGAGGAGAACACAATTTTTTAAACTCTCCCATTATGCAAAAGAATGTCTCCCTGATTGAAATCCTTAAAGAAGCATAACTGAAAACGTTTTTGTCAAAAGAAGTGCACTTTCAGCCACAGGTTACATTTCAAAGATCTCCTTTCGATCAAAAATCAACATTTCCTCATGAAGTTTTAACACGATAACCTACTTTTCATTGGGGACCAATTTTAACACCATGGAATGTAAGCCATTACAAACCCAGTCCATTTTAGGATTTGAAGCCCTGCTATCTGCCTAGGTACATTCTCTATTGATGGTTGAAAGATTGCTAATACTACCTGGGCTGAATCACCTGTATTCTGCATTCCTCCCTTGTTTTTTAATTTGACTGACTCAGTCAGGATCAGGGATTGCCAGGGTATTATCAGTCCTCTTCGCCATAGAATATTCTGTTTTGTTTTGTGTTATAGGTACCTATCTCTAGAGTTTATTTAAAAGTTATCCAGTGCAATTCTGATCTCAACGGTCCCCCTACTTTTTTAATTGAATCCAATTGAATAAATATTTGTTACATAACTTTTACTACATAGGTGATTCTCCGTTTATTAGGGCTGAATAAGTATATGAGAGCACTATGCATTAGCCTATGGGATCTCTTCACAAGAATTTTTTTCCATGGCTCTTCCCCCTATCTACATCAAATTTTTGATTATTTTCAAGCAAGGTATTTTGACAACTGGTATTTTCCTTTGTTTCTCATTGAGCTGATGGCTACGTCTATAGGTGATTCTCTCTTCTTCTTTCTCCTCACTATGTGTGCTAAATAATCGTCATACTCTCTCTTTGAAATTTTGCAGGGAAAACAAATCATGCAACAGGGAATTGACTCCAAAACAAGATAGTAATGTTCGGTTTTTACAATTAACTTTGGTTAAATGGCAAAAATTAATATTTTTTTCCGGAGTTGACCAGTTAATTCAAGAGTTTTTAAACTTCCAGTCGCATGAATCGTCTTCAACGTACCAAGAGAAAACATGTTAAATTTTATCTGGTTCAGATCTTGTCATCGAGTGATTCCAGCAAGTACTTGGTTTTTCTCACTGGGCAGTGTAAAATTGGTAATGCTCGAGAAAACATCAATTTCATTGATCATTGCTTTAAAATTGATTTTTGGGATTGTTATATATATATTGGAATTGATGTCCGCTGATTTTGATTGCACGCCAGTTTAGAAAATGAATTCCAATTTACAGTTGACCGCAAAAGATTTTGGCAATTTTCCAAGTGTTAGTGGCAAAAAATCGATGTCTTGAAATACAAAAGGAATTTGAAGTTGGCAACCCTAAAGTGGGATACCTACCTAACAACTCATGGTAACCCCACCTTTCCTGAAGTAGATGTAAGGGAGTAATAATTATTACTATCCACGGGGCTATTGAGGACAGTAAGTGTCCGAGCTGTAGAAGTTGAGATTATAATAGTACGAATACAAGCTCATTAGAATAGTTCCATATGAAAATTTGTTGATGAAAGCATCTAGGTGGTAATCACAGATCCTAAGAACAACCTGTTGCTTCATAACAACAGGCTTCCAGGTAACAAGTGATAGGAGCACCCTGAATGAAGTGCGAACTGACAATCTTACCTCTTCACTTTTTTGTTGAAAGGCTCGATATCGGCATCATCAAAAAAAGGTAATCCTCCGTTATAGGGTGAAAATTGATCCACATACTGAACCACACACACAACACGAAGGTAAACGAAGCGAGACGGCGACAATAAACAAATCGCGTACCATCACACACCGCAATGAAAGCGTACTAGCCGCAATTAAACGAAAACAAATTCCTGTAAGTTTTGAACTGGAGTTCAACAACGGTAAAATGATTGCGTTGGCACGGAAAAAACACAGATCACTCGCGAAATTAACACGAACGAAGACCCATGGCGCCGTGGGCTGACGCGAATTTTGTGACTTTCGCTGATGTTGACGTTGACAGGGAAACAAAGAGAAAGACTGAGTAACGTAACATCCGTGCCTTGCTCCCCGCCTACCTGTATTACAGGTGTGGAAGGTGGGCGCAGGTGAGGTACAAGCTACGCCGTGCAGTGCTGCAACCTGCTTCAATAAGAAGTACCCATGCTGCGATTCCTGCCTGCCTCCAACACTGCCGTGCTAAAGAACGTCGTATGAGCCTTGAGGTGTTGCCAAATTTTCTTTGACTACTGACGATTTCAGGAGGGAATTTGTGAGTATTTTTCCTCCGATTTTTCAGAGAATTTTCTTCATAATTTGATCTGAAGTGTCACTAAATTTCAAGGAGAAATAGTAATACCTTTTTTCACGAATAAATATATTCCGAGAGGAAATTTGGCAACATTCGAATGCTCATACGGCGTTTTTCCATAGCACGACTAAATAGGTTACGGAGATGCAAAATATTATAACGGAATAAAAAAAATTTCCTTTCCAAATTGTTTGCCTCTCCATAGCTCCCCCCCCCCCCCTTTAGTTTCAATTTTTTGGGATTTTTTTCTTTTCCTAACTGTTTTCAGTTGTTAACGGCTAATTTTGGCTAACAATAAGACTTCCTAGTATTTACTACATACTAGGCTTGATCATTCACAGCGTTTATCGGCTGCATTCAGACGTTTTCATTTTCAGCAGTGTGTGGGCACTGTGAAATATTTTCATGAGTTTTTGGATGTTCCGGTAATTTTTTAAAATCAGAACGCTGTAGTGCGCACAAGTTGCGCGTAGGTATTAATGTCAATTCTAAGCACCCAGAGTATTTCTTTATAGAAAAAAGATTAAAAAATCGAGGTTGGAATAGTCAAAAATTCTGTTAAGCATTTCTTCTTTTCGCATGATTCATGAGTTGGGCACAGAGGCCCAGGAGAAATCCTGAAAACGGTGTCTCGATTTTTCGTAAAATTGGCCTCCGTTGCGTTATTTCATAAAGGAGGATTGTAATTTGAGAGATTTCGGTTAAAATTTTCAGAAAAACTTCTTGAAATGGCAAAAAAAAGGAATCAGCGTGAAATTCCTTGCTAGACAGATGATCACAATGTCACACTTCCAAATACTTAAAACTGCTAGGAAATATGGAATGTAGAGAAATAGAGATGCGTGACCTACTAGATTGTTCTGCGACTAGTGGTGTAATATTATTTTCTTGAGCAGAGGAAAAAATAAAATTTAATACAATCTCTGGGAACTGTTTATGCATACCGCTGCAAATAATTATGGATTTGACAAGGACCCCCAATGCTCGAGGTTAATGGTAAAATATTTCAATTCAATTTTCACCACATTTAGGTGTTTTATAACTTCTTAAGTTTTATTAAATATCTACCAAAGTTTAAAAAAAATTAAACAAGTCGATACTAAGCTTATCTGCTGAAGCAGACGTGGGTATATTCAACAGAAATTTCAAAAACTAATTTTCTTTTCTTCACACTAATTTTACGATTTGGCTCAGATTGTATGATTATGAGAAAGTCTTTTTTTGCGATGTCCTGTAACTCATAAGTTTTGAGGAAGCAGGGCCCAAATTTTGCCCTGCCGAATTTACAGAAGCTTTGAAACAGACTTGAAAATTCGTGACTCCTTCCTAATTTATTTACAAGGCACATAAATCCTTCTGAATTTTGAGCTCTGAAAAAGTTAAAAAAGAGAGTCCATTCACTCAGTTTTGACGATCAAACTTAAAAATGACTGAGACTCATATTAGTAGGAAAGAAGAAGAGAACATCACTTATTTCATTATAAATATATGGAATTTTATTTACTTTAGTTTAATGTAGATAATGCAAAAATGCATGAAAAATTCAACAATTTGCACAAAAGAAAAGGATCAACGACAAATTGCTAACAAAATAACAAATATACAAATTTTTTGCCAGACACAAGATCAGCAGAGACAAAAGACAACTGATTTAAAAAAATCATTTGATTAAAAACAGTAAAGTGGGAATAAGAATGCCTGTCATCTTAGTTGAAAATAAAGATACAGTGAGAATATTCACGAGGCTGAAACATGACTTCATGTTAGTCTTCAGAATAATTGAAGTTTACAATTAAGTTTCTTCTGCAAAATTGAAAAATGCATGATTACATAATCCTGACAGGCTTTAATTAAAAGAAATTTTTTGTTCACAGAAATGCTCGGTGGGCAAATAAATCAAATGCAATAGAAAAATAAATTTCTGAAAGGTCACAGCTAAAGTAAGTCAAAAGTTAAAGGCAAAAGTCCATCTCTAGAACCACAGCACTTCGATTATCACCCTCACCTGAAAGTGAAGATTGCAATAGAGTATCTGCATGCAGCAAAAATTTTTGATTTTAGGTACTATTTTTTATTTTTGTTAAATTTGATTTTGCCAACATGGCGCTGCATTTTCTCAAATATAAGAAGCTCTCAAAGTTGAGGCCATCATGAGGGAGCTAACTTGATCTGGTAAAGAGTCCACCTCTATGTTTAGTTGAACTACCCTTTGCGATAAGGAAGTACTACTTCTGGCTCATTGTAGAAACAACATACTGTCATTAGTTTCCCAGTGAAGATAATGCTTTTGCGAATGAGCCAAAAATAGTAGTTTGTTACTACAAAATGCAGTCCAGTTAAACTCTCCATGAAGAGATAGGTATTTTCATTAGTAAAGTTGCACTGATTCTGTTAAAATTACAGTTATCACATACAGGCTCTTCATACAGAATGACAACTTTGCTCATTTATTCCACCCTATCTTTGCATGGAGCATTTTACTACATATCTGGAGAAACTCTCGAACAAATCAAGTTTGCATGACAACTTGAGTCTCAACTGCAAGAAGTTTCTTGCTTTATAATTATACAAATATATTCTAAAATAACATAAGGAAATGAATAAAAAATCTTCCTTAAATGCAAGAAATCTGTTTGAAACTTTTTCGGAAAAATTTTGAGAGAAACAATTGACTGAAAAACAGTCTCTATAGAGAAAACTTTACAAGATTAAATACTACCTCAAAAATTTCCCCCAGTCTCAAAAGAATTATTTGCTGAAGTAAAAAATAAAGCAAAACCAATTACAACCGATTTTTTATCAATCTGTGTATTCAAAACATTCAAAACAAAACTGCCGCTGTTGGACAAGGAGTTTTAACTTCTGGACTGAATTGTTCAAGTACAGACATTTCTTTACATTCTATCCTGATGTCATAGAAAACTTACACGTTTCTCAAATTTGACAGTAGCGGTTTTATATTATGATTTTGATTTCGAAAAAAAATGAGAAAGCAAAAAACCTACTTCTGTAACACTGATTATGAAATATCTCATTAGAATGACGGTTAACTTATCTTGGAGTAATTTGAAATCGTTCTTATGACAAAATTGTTTTAAAATAAAAAAAATATTTTGCAATAATGACTGAAAAAAAAAAAAAAAAGCGCCTGAGGAATGGAACTTAGAAGATAAATAATGGAGCCTCTTGCAATCATAAAAAGTCTATGATCAGAGGAAACATCAATTCATCGAGAATCTAAACTAGACCTTACAAAACGATGGGACTGGAAAACAAACCTTAAAGAATTTGATCAGTGAAAACATTTATGGAACTGGAGGTATACATTTTAAAAGAAGAGGAAAAGAAGGCAAATATATTACATGTTCATGAAAAAGAGAGGGTAAATCCCTTATAATAGGTTATGGAAGAAGTCACCAGGATGTCTAGCAGAAACACAAAACACTAATTTTTGTTGGTTTACTTACATTTTCAATACCCCCTTACCCATGGGTTTTAAATGCATGCAGCTGTTGTAAAAAATAAAAATCTCTAAGCTTCACTTAAGCTTCAACCCAGGAAAAAATCAATGGCAGGTATTTACAAAAATATGATAATGCTGGGAGGTGACGTAATGTTCAATCTAGATTATGATCAGAGTAGAGTCAAAGAATTTTTCATACAAAAGTATTCGATTCTTATTTTGCCGTTCCCTTGAATGGGTCTTGGAAGCTCAAATATTGTCTTATCAGAAAATTGACAAAGGCACACTTCCAGAGTATTAGCCCTGAGATGGTTCAGGAGCATAAAGTTTTATCCTCTAGCCAAAGAGGTGGTGGCCAAAAGGTTTGGTTTCTGACGTTCGCACAGAATTTTTATTCTATCCAACAACTATTTTGTTTTAATTTAAAATATAAAGGTCAAATAATTATGTATGAGGAAGTTTTGATCGAAATCTAACACTACTCGACCTACCTTTGAAAGTCAATAATCAGGTTGAAAAAATCTGGATGGTTAAAGTACAGATAGATAGATGGATTTCAATCAATCATTGAAAAAGAAAAAGAAATAACACATAAGATTTCTTCTAAGGATCTACAAACACCCTGGTCACTCAATAGAACTTGTCCTTTTATCACCGGTAATGCAGTGAACAGGCTTAATCGTAAACAAAATGACCACTGGAGTAGCTTTGCTGTTAGCTTAGTAATACATGTATCCAAAATCACAGCCATCTCGATCGCGGCCACCTCGCCGGCCGCCTCTGCCACCTCCACCTCCGCGACCACCACGACCTCCGCCGCGACCTCCACCTCGGCCGCCTTCAATCCTATCACGTTCTTTCTTCTTTGTGAAACGATCCGACATGGCGTACAATTCTTCAGGTACATTCTGTAAAATAGAAGGATTAATTGTAGCTAAAAAGTAACTGCGACATACATGCTTCCCCAAGGGTGTATTTAATGAATGCTTTGGGGCAAGGAGGGATGGCTGTAGACACTTTTTTCTCAAAGAACGCATTTTCTAAATCCTAGTGGCATTAGGAGTACAAGCATAGATCCATTTCACAATTTTCAGTTGAGAAAAAGTGAAATAGACCTAATAGTATGGAGATGACTAAAATTGTGGCTATTAAACTCCATCCATGCAAGGAAAGGGGTGCGGAGGGTTTTCCTCCTTTCACTTTTGAATTTGATCCTTAATAAACTTTATATGGTTTCGCTTCTCCAGAGGTTTGATAAAATATTTTATAAATTTTGGCTAGAATGTTAGTTGAAGTACCCTACTACAGGTCCTGGATTACCATTAATAAGTATTCCCATATTATTAGAGTTCATTAAGACGCACCATGCACAAGCATGGCACTGTTTAATTAAATGGATGAGGCTATTCGTCGGTACCGTACCGATAAATAAATGGCTATTCGTTGGTACCGCATCGGCAACATTAATTACGAGGTCTGTTAGATTAGAAACCGGATTTTGGTCATAACTAGCCAACAATGCGTCCGAATTAGGTTTTCTTGAGCTTTCCTGATAGCTGGAAATATATTTAAGAACGCTAGGTTCACAGATTTTGTTTATTTTAATCAGTGTTTATTCTTTGTTATCTTGAATACGAGTAAGTCAGGTGCGTTTTGCGATTTTCATCATGCGATCACTGATAGAGCAAAGATTCAACATTAAATTTTGTTTTAAACTCGGTATACCTTGTACCGAAACTTTTGGTATATGCTAAGTAAAGTTTATCATGATCATTGTATGAGATTTTCCCACTGTTTTGAATGGGTTAAACGTTTCAAAACTGGTCAGGAGTTCGTCAAAGATGAGGAGCATGGGAATCGACCCTCAACGGCAACTGACATTTGTCACGTGGAAGAGGTTTGGGCAAAAGTGCTCGAAAATGGTCGTTTCGAGCTTGTTGAACAGAGTAATTTTTCTGAAGGCCCTGTACATACAATTTTGATAGAATATGTAGACACGCATCGAGTTTCAGGTACACTTGCCCCTTGATTGTTGTCCGTTGAACGAAAATCCAACCAAATGTCAATTTCCCTTTAGCGGCTTGAACGTTCTAACAATGATCCTACATTTTTGGATAGGATAATTTTCGGTGACAATACTTTAGCGGACGGCTACGATACGGAGACAAGACTCCAATCGTCCTTGTGGGTTGAAAAATGTAGTGCAAGACCGAAAAAAGAGAGACAAGTTCGGTGAAACATGAAAATCGCAAAACACCCTTGAGGTTGCCTTACTTCAAGCCACATACCAACGAAGCTAACTAGGATTTTTCAAATTTGTGAACGTAGCGTTCTTAAATATATTTTAAGCTATCAGAAAAGCTCAAGAAAACGTAATTTGGACGCATTGTGGGCTAGTTATGACCAAAATCCGGTTTCTAATCTAACAGACCTCGTAATAAAAATGTGTTGTCAAGCCTTGGTCCGAATGGACAAGCAAACGCCATCTATGGTGCTCTGTTGTAATTACACGGAGATACTAAGTGCTACAAATGTACAACTATTGTCAGTTCATGGTAGCTGCTCCACGGCTTGCGAATCTTCAATATCTGTCGCTGCCCCAGCTAACAATGATCATAGTGCAGAGAGCTATGCCACCACCAGCGAATCTTCGGTTTTTGTTGCTGCCCCAACTAACAACGATCATAGTGCAGAGAGCTATTCCACCACTAGCGAATCTTCGGTTTCTGTTGCTGCTCCTTCTGACGAAAATGTCAGTGCAGAGAGCTTCACGAAGCTAAAATTTAAGAGTAAAGTCATTTCACGAGGGCGACCTAAACTGCCAGCAAGACAACTTCGTTCCTTTAATCGCACCGTTGCCGACCGACAATCTGTGGAAAATCCCCCCGAAAAACGAAAACGAAAGAAAACACCTGCAAATGAAACTAAAGGCCCCACCACCCGAAAAAATAAGCGTTCTTGATGATTCTTTAGACAGAGTAGTACATTTCAGTATTATGATGATTCATTTGACAGTGAAGTACTTTTCAGTATTATGATTATTTATTTGACAGAGTAGTACATTTCAGTATTATGTGAGAGTATTAAATACATAAATTACATTTGGAGAATATTTCTTTACAACTCGTGTTGGGTTTTTTTTCCATCTTTCACCCAATTTTTAGCTCTTAACTTCCACCAAAATATTATTAAGAAATCATATATTTAATATAATTTACGTGCTAAAATCAAAGTACGGTACCGACGAATAGCTATTTATTCATCGGTACGGTACGGACGAATAGCTATTTATTCATCGGTACGGTACCGACGAATAGCCATTTATCCGTCGGTACCGTACCGACGAATAGCCACTTCGTAATTAAATAGGGTTCCTACAATTTTTTGCAGTTTTCCCTTTTGTAAATTTATTATTTAAGACATTTTTTCATAGGTCTCCCCAGATACTGATGATCAATTCCCAAATTGATTAAATTGAAGTGACAGATTTCCGTCAATTCATTTTTAATTTACTCAATTTTTCAGCTGATATTCACCTTTCGCATTGTTTGCCTTTCTAGAGGATGATCAAATCACACAACTTTGAACTTGTTTATCATGGCTTGATATCGCCCAAAAAATCCAGGAGAATTCCTTTGAGTGCACTCTTTACTTTTTAAAAATGCAAGTATTAAAAGTTACTGAGCAAGCTAATTACCATATGGAAGAGAGAAAATATCGCACAGAGATGTGGTGTGTTAGTTATGCTTTTAATGCAGAAGTGGATGAGCAACTCCCTCAGTCGAAAAATTATGGAATGTATAAAAAAATTGTTTCCAGGTCTCATGACGAATTATTTCTCATTTGTTTCATTGATAAGCCGATGAGTATACTTGTCATTTAATGCCAATGGTTAAGATTAAGAGGCTCCCTGTAAAACAGTAGGTATTTTACAATGCCTTCAACACTCATTCATCTTCTGAGAACGAACAAATACTTCAACTGGTGAAACATAAATAATGTTACTTATTTTACCTGTTCAGCTTCAGTTAGGATGCCGATGAGTTCCTCAGCAACTGCCCAATCACTGCGAGTGAAAAGAGAGATTGACTCGCCCCGTTTGCCAGCACGACCAGTTCGCCCTACTCGGTGCACATACTCTTCAATATTTCGAGGGAAATCATAGTTAAAAACATGCCTATAGAAACAGGAGTACATAATAAATATAAACTGTTGGCTAGATTGACATTTACAATAGGAGGCAGTTAGTGCTTAAATACTTAAATAATCAAAAATAACCTTTTTACTTCAGAGAGATTATTTTATGGGTTCATAAATGATAAATGAGTTAAATCGAGAGGAGGAGTCCGTCTGATTTGAGGAAAATTATTGACCATCTAATTAAGGGGAGAATTTGGATAGCTTTCATTACGCACTGCTACCTATGCATGGAAGAAACCTTTCATTGCAGTTTTCACAAACCTGCTTTTCCTGCTACATACTGTTCCATCAGAAAGGCTCTCTGTGTTTATAGAAAAGCATTTAAAAAAGATGAAAAACAAAATGAAACCCTAGGTACAGTATTTTTGTATTGGGGGAACAGACTACTTTTCTTTTCGACTAATCATTGCTCACCTTTCGTTTTTAACAGAGGCAGTGAATTTGTACATTAAAACATACCCAGAACATTCAACATATACAAAAACAGCATACAACACATTCTTAATTCCTTAATTGCTCGAAAATCAAGGCATATGTTTGGAAGATTAATTTGTTTCTATGAGTTATTAATGATCTATTAACTTTCCATTTGCAACTTTTTATATTCTTAAGGAATCACATTTTTTGCTAACTTTCTATAAATTAATGACAATGTAACTATTAAGTTTGTGACGAAAAAATTATCATTCATAAAAAAATAGAAAAAAAAATGAATTAATCAAAGAGTTCAGGAGACTCACGTAATATCAGTAATGTCAAGACCTCGACTCATAAAAAAATAGAAAAAAAATGAATTAATCAAAGAGTTTAGGAGACTCACGTAATATCAGCGATGTCAAGACCTCGACTAGCTACATCTGTTGCAATGAGGATCCTAACATAGCCTGTTTTGAGATCTTCCAGCGCTTGTTCACGATCAGCCTGCTCTCGGTCTCCATGAATACATTGGCAGTCTACTCCTTTCAGACTTATGTCAGCTGATATGGCATCAGCCCGTGCTTTTTTGCCAACAAAAACAATTACTTTATCTTCTGGTCCCATGTTAGCCAAAAACTGAAGGAGCTGCAATTAAAAAGGAAAATTATCACACATTCAGAGAATTTACACAAATAATGAAAATTGAGAAACTCTAGTTCTTTTTTTGCAACTGTACACTCTAAATTCATGTACTTGACATTGTTGGTGTGACCGACATCGCGTCCTGCAAGCAAACTTTTGAAAAAACTTTTTTCATCTTCGGGTTTAGAGTTTCTCCAATTTTTCACCAAAATTTCCTATTTTTCCTCACAATTGTCTACTAAGGGAACACATATATAAGATCGCATTAATGGCCCATGAGGTATAGTGGCTTGTGGGCAATTTCGCAAGTATCAAGTAAAACAACAATTTTGATAATTTTTTTTTTTTTTTTAAAAAAAAAAAATCCCAAATCTTAAAAAATTACACATTTTTGGAATCTTTGTAACCTCTAGATTTAGGATTTAGGTATATGTGGTTGCCATGTTTCTTTTGAAGTTTTGCAAATGGCGTTAGGTTTTATGTTGCAAGATGTGGGAGTTTCCACACCATAACGAACACTATTTTCACCTACGCTAACTTGTATAAAAAATGTATAGAAATTTTTGGCAAATAAGTTGAGTAGATGTATGTCCAACATTAATGGAAAATCACAATTGAAGAGGAGACACTTACGATGATAAAAATAGTTTTTAAATCGAGTGCCATTATGTTATACCTACTGTTAATAACTTTTTCCCAACTATAATATGACATACTATGAATGTGATTGGATGCTCCATGAAGCGATGGATCACAACAAATAGAAAATCATATTAACATAAGAAATTTCAGCGTACATATTGATTGTGAACTGAAAAACAACTGCCTAAAGTTTTTAAGAGCCTTAGATTTTGAAGAGCCTAGAGGACTAATTACTCTGAGTTAGTATATCACTTAAGGCAAAGCAGTTGATAGAAGATTTCAAATCTGAAATGTACTCACTAGATCCTCTTTTTCAGATTCGTCACAGATTTCAATTATCTGTGTTACGGAGTGTGTAGCTGCAAGGTTAAGAGAGCCAACGTTGACTTGCACGGGGTCCTTCATGTAGGAGCTGGCTAGACGGCGCACACCATCTGGCCAAGTAGCGCTTGTCATCACAGTCTGACGATCTGGACGGATATCTAACAGTGTCTTCCGGATCTGTGGTTCAAAACCCATGTCAAGCATCCTATCTGCTTCATCCAGAATTAGGAATGTTACCGAGTTAAAATTAATCACACCTGAAAACAGCATTCGGACTCAATTACTTCTTGCGGAAAGGCACAAAATGTATTCTTGGTCAGTGAAAAATAATTTAATAAAAATTAATTTTAAAAATTCTAGTTGCTCAGTTTTTTACAAATACTTTAAGCAATTACAGTCAAGAAAAAGACATGAAAAGGAGCAAATGACTGCAGACTGTGGTTAGACTCCCTGAAATGGAGAAAACATAGACCTGAGTGATTGCAGGTGCATTACTTGAATTTTTTCAATTGGCATTTACAAAATGAACATTTAATCTGCTCTTAACTCCCTTTTCACTAATAGCAAACAGGGTACTCACCAGCCATGGCCAAGTCATTTAATCGTCCTGGTGTTGCTATAACAATTTCTACACCCTTGTTAACTACATTGATTTGATCTTTGCGGCTACCGCCTCCATATACACACACACTGAAGACAGAAAAGGATACACATGAATTATGTCTAGAAATCTGAGAAAAGTGAAATTTAAATTCAGTTGTTACTTTCCTACAGCAAAACATGAAGAGGCTCAACAGATCCTATCCCAGAATTACCTTCCCTCCAACTTCAAGACAAAAAGAATGAGAAGAGAGAGGGCTAAAAGCACGGACCTGCCCATTTTTTTTGTTTGAAAAACGCTGGGGGTTAGACAAGTGATTCCCGTTTAACAAATAGGGCTGGGAACAAAATTGACCTCAGTCTTTTTCTGTACCCACCAATTTTCTAGAAAATCGAGATGTTCATCGAAAACCAGGTTTAGCAAGAAAAAAATAATTTCCAAGGAAAATCTATGTGGAAAGATGTCATTGTCTCACTGACACAAATGCATGCATACCAATGAAATATTTTGTGAAATATTCGATACTTTACATAAATATTACAGAAGACTTCCTATCATTTGGTCAAATAAGTTCGGAAAATTTGCAGAGGCATGAAAAAATGCATGGCAACATGCTCAACACACTTTCAGAGTGGGCGTCAGTCAAATAAAAACTCATTGAGAGAAACACAACGCACAGCCAAAGACCAAGACCAAGTATGAGGAAGGAGAGGTGAGACAGTTGAGCACTTGTGTCTCATGATTATATCCTAGTTGAATCTCACATGGAATAATGCTTCATTCACAATCAAGGTACACTCTAGTATGGGTTTGGACAAACGGGGTGCCGAAGTGGCAGCGCTGAGAATATAGGCCATTGAGTGATGTCGCAAGTTGTACTGTCTTTGCCACGCAGTTCAAAATGACCCGTTGAAGAGGTTTTGGCAGATCTGATAGCTTCAAAAAGCTATTAGATGGATTTAAAAAGTTGATACAACTCAAAATAACAACAAACTTAACTAAGAACACAAAAAAATGACAGGAAATTGACGAGACCCACTCTCAGAACAGAAAGTAAACAAGTTTTCAATATAGCATCGCAGTCATACCATTGGACGCTGTCAAATCTACGCGTTTTGACAACTTTTTAAGATTCCATTTGTCCATACCTGTAGTAGAGTGTACCTTGATTCAAAATGCTTCAGCATGGCCTACATCCCTTGGAAAAAATACTCACGATCTAATTCCTTTATAGCTGTATTTGTTCACTTCTTTATCGATCTGTAATGCAAGTTCTCTGGTTGGAGCTAGGACAATTGCACTGGGCCCCACACGTTCCTCCCTCGGCACAGGTTGATTATCAATGTGAATAAAAGCTGGCAACAGAAAAGCTAAGGTTTTGCCTGAAAAAAAAAAAAAAAAGTTAGTAATTACAATAATTTACAAATTGTAGAACAAAATGTGAAAATCAGCCCAACCCACAATGAAAAAAAATACAGACTGAGATACCATTGGTCCTCAGTGACCATCCTTTTACTCTCCCCGAATGTAAAATGGACCGCGTTAAACAGGAAGGAACCAAGCCATATCAGTTGTTGCCAAATTTGACCAGGCAATTCAATTTTTAACGAGAGTGTTCATACCGACTCCCTTAAAAATTGTGAGGAATTTGCTTTGTACTTTGGAGAAAATTCACTGAAATTTGCACTGAAATCTGCACAACCTATGTAAAAAAATTGACTTGCCCAATTAAATTTGGCAAAAGCTGATGTGGCTTGGTTCCGTTCTGTTTAACGTGGTCCAAATAGACTCTTTGTACAGGCATGATTCTTTTGTACTCTTTGATTTTTCCATCCAACAGACATTTCTGAATCAAATTTCAACTAATANCGATGGCCTATATTTATATATAACTATATTTTATATATATATTTGCCTATATTTATATATAACTTTTCAAATTCATCTGATAGCTTATTCAAGCTATCAGATGAATTTGAAAAGTTGATAAAACTCAAAATAACAACAAACTTAACTAAGAACAAAAAAATGACAGGAAATTGATGAGACCCACTCTCAGAACAGAAAGTAAACAAGTTTTCAATATAGCATCGCAGTCATACCATTGGACGCTGTCAAATTTACGCGTTTCGACAACTTTTTAAGATTCCATTTGTCCATACCTGTAGTAGAGTGTACCTTGATTCACAATGCTTCAGCATGGCCTACATCCCTTGGAAAAAATACTCACGATCTAATTCCTTTATAGCTATATTTGTTCACTTCTTTATCGATCTGTAATGCAAGTTCTCTGGTTGGAGCTAGGACAATTGCACTGGGCCCAACACGTTCCTCCCTCGGCACAGGTTGATTATCAATGTGAATAAAAGCTGGCAACAGAAAAGCTAAGGTTTTGCCTGAAAAAAAAAAAAAAATGTTAGTAATTACAATAATTTACAAATTGTAGAACAAAATGTGAAAATCAGCCCAACCCACAATGAAAAAAAATACAGACTGAGATACCATTGGTCCTCAGTGACCATCCTTTTACTCTCCCCGAATGTAAAATGGACCGCGTTAAACAGGAAGGAACCAAGCCATATCAGTTGTTGCCAAATTTGACCAGGCAATTCAATTTTTAACGAGAGTGTTCATACCGACTCCCTTAAAAATTGTGAGGAATTTGCTTTGTACTTTGGAGAAAATTCACTGAAATTTGCACTGAAATCTGCACAACCTATGTAAAAAAATTGACTTGCCCAATTAAATTTGGCAAAAGCTGATGTGGCTTGGTTCCGTTCTGTTTAACGTGGTCCAAATAGACTCTTTGTACAGGCATGATTCTTTTGTACTCTTTGATTTTTCCATCCAACAGACATTTCTGAATCAAATTTCAACTAATACGGATTTTTTATAATGAATTAAACCAAAAATTAGTGTAAATAAATACCTTTAATCATTAAAGCATTTCAGTTTGATAGCCATCAGTGCTTATATATATTCACCGATCCCTATGATTCATTGTAAATAATTTTCAAAAGAGGGTAAATCTCATCATTTCATAAATAAAAATGCATAGAAAAATGAATAAAATAGAATACAAACCTGTTCCAGTTTGAGCGATACCAATTAAATCTCTTCCTTGAAGTAAAACAGGCCATGCTTGACACTGGATTGGCGATGGCTTTGTAAAATTTTGCTTGTGAATCTCGTCTAGAATTTCAGGAAAATCATGGAACGCCTCTTCAAAAGTTCTGACTGGATTGGGAATCGGTTCACCTGTGTCTTCAAAAACAAAACCAACTGAGATGTCGTTTTGCTCCTTCCTAAAATGACAAGGGTTGCATTATAAACCACTACTATTTCACTGACAATAAAAACTTTTATTAAAGGTTGTCTGACGAGAAAGAGGAACAAATGAATTGGTAAGAACAGGCATCTTTTCTCACTTTTACCAAAGATATTTATGGATGGCTTGGTTTTCATCAAGGCGATCTCAACTGAGCCTATTCACTGAACCTGAGGATAGCAGTTTGATAATTTCACTGAAAACATGTTCATTTGGAAAGAGGTCACTGGAAACATCCAGACAACTCCACATGTTTTGAGAGACCTACGATCTTACAATGAGACATAGTCCTCATTCAGCTCTAAATTTACTGAATCTTAAGGGGTAACCCAAAACAGATCAATACTATTATGATTAGCAAGATATTGTAAAAAGCAAAGAGGCACAGTGCACCATAAAATAGGTCCTATAATTTTATTATATTAGCGTACAAGAGGAAATAAAATTATGTTATCTGGAACCGTCTGCCCGGACGGGTGAAATTGAGCGAGAATTGTCAGTATGCCTGCAGTAAGGTGACTTTTTTCAGCAGAATTATAGGTTCCATATATGGAAGAAGGAAAAGGACCACCACCATTCTGCTCTGTTCATTTTGCGTTCTCTATCAAATTTGGGTCAGATTGGGTCTATCGAGATTGAGAAACCCAATCTGATAATGTATGATATTGTCATCTTGATTAAAGTTTAGTGATAGACCATTTGCTCATCTATTTTCTGCGGAAACTCCATTAGTTTGAATCTCTTTTACAGTCTTGATTGAAACTGGTAGAAGATGAATACAACCTTGGTTTTTAAGTATCATATCAACCAAGCTAGGGAAGGCTAGGAGTCTTAGGGTATGAAACCAAGCTTCAGTTATTTACCTAGCGTGAGTGTGTGAATTGTTTAGAATGGCTAACTAGACCTATATTAACAGTGGGTTTTAGGAAGTTTGAATTTAGTGCTTATAATACAGAATACAGACATAAATTTCTCACATATGAGTTGATTTTGAAAGTTTTCGATACGTTCAATGTATACTACGTGAAATTTTCATGAAAAAATACGTCTTTTAAAAGTCTAATTCTAATCTTGTTGTGGTTTAAACTTCAGCATTATTCCTCAGAGAGGTACAAAACTATAAGCTAAGCAAACAAGTTGCATAAATTTTTGAAAAATAACTTAATTTTACCGAATTTTTGCTGCTTCAGCAGGAGACATATTAGTAACACTTGGAAGTTCGTGGTAAAAATTCTTTTTGATAGGGGGTAGAGAGGCTAACTTTTTCTCCTTTGCTATGGCCTGAAACAGTATCATTGAAATAAAATAATTAAAATTTCACTCAGGTTTACCTGTAAAATGAACTCAAGAGAGATTACCAGGAAATATTACAATTCAGGTCAAAAATGGGAAAAATTTTATAATTTATTCAGTATCTTTCCATACATCTTGGCTCATCGTAAATGGGGGATGACCCGTACGGATGCCCATTGACGTCCTACAAACCCCTCACAGGCAAGGAAAGTGATGTCCTAAAAGCACAAATGTCATGAGGACTCACTGCGAACAGGTTAAATAAATAATTTCGCGGTGAAGAGACTCTAAACAAAAAACTGAAACTCAAAGAGCACAAAAGTACTCACCCTGATTCAGTACCATAGAGTAAAAAGTCAACCGATCTGTCAAAAATCAGGGATCCTCAATGGATGAGGAACGGTCAGAGCCCCCACCTTAAAGCAATGTAAATAATGTCAAATTAAAAGCGTAACATCAATAACAGGCTAAGTTCCAGAGGTGATATGGGATAGGGAAGTAATAGGGACTAATACATGAGTAGGTAAACGTTAGCGATACCACAGTTGGAGGTGCGCATTTTTTGACTTAGGTGATCAAATTACTACAAAAGCCATAGAATTGGATTACTATTTAAAAAAAAGGAAAGTCCAACACTGATAGCGATTCAAATAGAAATTTTACCATTATGAAAGAAAAGATATGATCTTACATCTGCTTCATAGATTTTGTCCCAGTTGATGACCTCATCTGATTGAGTCAGCATGCTAGCCATGTGAATTTTGTCTACCATATCCTTGGAATTAGTACGGTTATCTAAACTGTCCAGCAAAGAATTTATCAGCTCTGTTGCTTTTGCAACTTGTTCAGGTGTGCCTCGTATTGTCACATCTGTTGTTGTGTCAGGGTTAGGTTCTCGACTGACCTGTAACAAAAATCATACAAATTTCTTTAGATTTTACCTGACCTGAAAAGAGTCTTCACAATTTCCTATCCTGAAATTTAATTTTTTCTTAAAACCGTCATTTTTTCTGGAAGAAATCCATTTATCCCAACAGCGACCCAATAAAAGATGTTTAAGAAAGGGCACACAAATTGGAAATGATGTTAGAAGCGTGACAAGGAAATAAAATCACCGTTCTTATCTAACTGGCTGCAAAGATGTGCAATACAGGGATGCCATGATCAATTTTCCTTGACTTGACACATGCATGGAGGAAAAGAAGAAACTTTAGAGCTTGTAAGTTTATGCTGAATAGATCCTGTATTGTACGCAATCCAAGAAATAACGAACATGATGCAAAAATGACATTTTTCGCTCCCTGGATGTTCTCAAACTTTGTGCCCAGGCAAAAGGTTCGGGGGCTTTGAAATTTATAGAATTACAATTGAATCTCACTTAGTCAAGTTTTTAAGGGACCAACGTATTATGACTTAAGCGGGTCTTCATTTTATCTGCTTTGCCGTGTAGGATGAAGTAAGCTTCAAAATTTGAGTTGAGGGGTTTTAAGTGACTTGAAATTTTGTAGTTAATCGTAGTCTCTTTTTTTTACATTGCGTCTTATGGCAATAGCCAGGGAACGAGGGAATTCTTTACTTAGGCAGGATTTTGTCTGAAACGTAGTTCAACTTAGCCATATCCACCTTAATTTTCAATTGACAAGTGGTCTTGGGTGCTGAGGAAACAAATGATTCAGGATTTATAAAGAATAAAAGGTGAGACTGCGACAGTTGCACAAAAGATAGCAAAATGCAAGCACAGCGACGGAGTAAGTCCGCAACCATGTATCTCGGTATGTGACGTTGCAGGCTTCCTGTCATACATTATTTTTTAAATGAAAAACTACTTGACAGGAGTTCTTAAAAACTGCCGTGATGATTATTCTCCTTACGAAGAAAACCCTGCAGGAACTTCAAGAAATGATGTCGATTAGTACTCTTAAAAAAATAAAATAGGAGCGGAGATTTTCAAACACCACAAACAAGATACATGGTTGCGGACTTACAACGTCGACATGCAAGTGCAGCAGACAGCTCTGAATGGATACTGCCTCCCCTCCTCCCACAACCACACACTGCGAGTATCGGCAAGGCCTCTGACTACTCAGAAGGGAGTGAAGGGGAGGGAAGTCCACTCAAAGTTGCCTGCAGCAGTTGTATCTTACTGTACTTTTGCTTAATCTGACAATCGCGTAGTCTTACCTTTGATGCATCATAACTCCTGAACCGTTGGTTTCCTCAGCACCCAAGACATCTCATCAAGTGCGAAATAAGATGAAAAATTGAAAAAAAATTTGGAACCCTCTCCCCCAATTCTTTGTTCAGGTCAAAAAATTTGGGAAAAGAAGGGCTCAGAAATGAGTAGTTGATACACAAAGTTTGGGGAACATTTGAGGAGGAGGAGGGGGAGAATATAATTTTGACATCATGCTTTATCCTTTTCTCCTAATAATAATTAGTTTTGCTTGTTGAATCAATCACGTCTTTGTGCACATTGATACAGAAAAAAAATAAATCAACATAAACACTAACCTGTATCCGGGCACCAGATTCAAACTGGAGGTCATTAATTTTACTGCCAGATCGGCCAATGACTGACCCAACCTGTGTGGAACTAACAGGTATCACCTTGTAATCTCCTCCACTTTCGGTCGAACGCCGACTGAAATTTCCATTGTCCCTATCATTCCTACTAATATTAGCTTGTTGACGCCAGCCACCATCGTTTGAGGAGTCCTGTTGGCGATTCCTACCACCTGAAAATGATAATTGTCATTAAATTCTAGATCTGAATAAACCCCAAACTGCTCTCTACTGATGGGGGCAAGATAATAGCATTCACAGACAGCTTAGAGTCTTTGATTCAGGCATCATCCTAAAATGAAATGAACTCAATTTGGAAATGTTTTGCCCCCATTAAATTGATAAATTATTTTTAGGTTGTGTATTATTTCTCATGTTTTTCATGAGGTGATTATTGGACCGCCTTTAAAAGAGAGAAACCAAGCCACATCTGCCATTGCCATATTTAACCGAGCAATTTAATTGTTTACAAAAGAACGTTTGCGCGGATTCTTTTGACAATTTTAAGGAATTTGCATCATACAATGGAGAAAATTCACTGAAATTTGAACAAAAATCCGCACAAACGTTTTCGTGTTAAAAAATTAAATTGCCCAGTTAAAGTTGGCAATAGCTGATGTGGCTTGGTTCCTTTCTATTAAACGCGGTCCAATTGAGCTTTTGCATGCCTCGGGGTTTCACAGTTCAAGTACTTTTTCTCCTGAAATTATTTTGAGAAAATTTAGCTTGCTAGAGGGCCAAAAGTTTGAAGGAATTTTAAAAAATTGTTCATTTAAAGCTTTTTTGTGCCTCTTGCAACCAATCCCTTTTCTGGGGGCCTATCTTAGTTATTTCACTTGACATGGCAACAAACGGTGCCTAACTTGACTTAGAGGTGTGGTCAGCTAAGTTGGCACTTGTTTACTTTCCATTGGCGAGCAACCGCGATGCTGTCGTCCAATAGGAGTTGAGAATTGATTACGTCACAATAGGGCTGCAGTCTATCCTCGTTTGCAATCGGACGATTGCATCATGTCGCTCGTAGGCAGAATGTAGGCGAGTGCCAACTTAGCTGACAGCACCTCTACTTCGTTTTACTGACTCAGACTTGAGTTAGTTAGACACTGATACTCAATAGAGTTAAAATTTTAGGCCTTATTTTTCCCGCAGAATAGTGTGGACCCAACACTATTCTACCGACCGGTTACACTTAGTTCCAATATTATTTAATTGAATAATAAGTTTCTTCTAACCTCTGTCACCGTCACGACCTCTGCCTCTGAATCCGTCACCTCTACCTCTGAATCCATCACCTCTGCCTCTGGACCCATCGCCTCTACCTCTGGATCCACCGCCTCTGCCTCTGCTGAAACCATCACGATCCCTTCTTCCGCCACGATCATTGGAGTCATTATAACTGGAACTTTGGTAATCTCGAGGCGTAGTCTCGCAGCCCCACTCATCCAAATCACCCATCTGAAAACTGATGGAAACAGCATTATACCATTAATAATTGGAAACATGAATTGATGGCCGCAGAGCAGCTTTCTCGAAGGGCACAGGTTGCAATACAGTGCGAGTATAATTTACACTTATTGCTACTGTATCATATCAAGTGTGTTGCCATCATACACAGCCTATCAATTAATTAAAGGAGCTCCTAGTAGTGACCCTCGTTCCAGCTGAATTGAAATATGTTACAGCTTTTCTTTGCATTGAAATCTGCCTATCTTTCACCTGATCATTTCAACTCGTGCGTGCATAATGGCATAGACTCTAACCGTAGCTTAGTCAAGGTTGCAACAAGGATTGAGGGCAAGAGATAGGTTTGACATCTTGCTGCAACCTCATTTTCAATGAGTAGGGCAGTAGACATTAATAGATCACGAAGTACTAACAACAAGGTGGCTGTCTAGCCACCAACTTGAATGCTTCCTCTCAGTAGTAAAACTCAAGATCATTTGAAATGATTTAAGATACAAGACTTTAACAGATAATTTCATCATCAGCCGTATTTTCTAGCAGAAAATACATTTATTAGGTTAGCAACATCTAGGAGGAATCCGCCGATAAGTACATTTAACATGACTTCAGATATTGAACAGCATACTGCAAGTTTTTAAAAGGGAATACAGTATGCTTCCGAGAAGCGGAAGCTGCAAATCTACTCATAAATTTGGTAAATTTTTCTTTTAAGCGGGGACAATGCTTCAAGTCCAAGCATGCTGTCTGTGTGTGGTTGAAACTGACTTGTAACTTTCCCTCGGCGAAAATAAAATTAAGATTTTTCAGTATTGGTGCTAAAAATTCATTATGGTACCAGTACAGCCTTTTGTGAAAATCAAAGATCTTAATTCCAATCTGAAAATGAGGAAAAAAGTGCTGATACAGCATGAAAGTTTCCGTAAGAGACCTGGCTGGACTCGTCCAACAAAGGCGACCACATGTCGGAGTGACATTTGAAGATGATTGAAAAAATTAGAGTACTTAAAAGCTCATGTTCCTTACGAATCACCTGTGAATTTCAAGAGCTGAATGAAGAGAAGAATGTCCTTGAGTAACAATAACTCACTTTGCTTGACAGGATTTTGTAGTAGGCCGGAAAAAGCAAAACAACGCGGGCAAGATGATTTTTGCAAGAGCAGCATGCGGCCTGCAGAACATAGAGTCAAGAGGGCTAACCCACCGGCCTGTCAAGCCTACCAGCTAACCCATAAGTGGGTACTCGCTCGGCCAATGGCAAAAATTGGACAGTACGCTCCTCTGATTAACTATGTACAGATTTTCAGAATCTTTCAATGGAATTAAATCGGTAGCTTATCGAGAAATTTGGAGTCCACCAAAGTCTCTGTAGGAAAATTCGTGCTGGTGAACACTTCAATGCTTCACTCGCGGATACGGGCTATTGAATTTCGCGCGCTTCAATTCCATTTGAACTGGGTACTCTAGTTAAATTTGATTGGTCGATCGCCGCCGAGCGAAATCCGATTCAGATACAGAGATCATCTCTAGTATATCTATGCGGGTTAAGGAGGTGGAGGGGAGAGGGGAGCTAACCTATAAAAATTTCATTATCAGATAATCGGTATCAGTGGTTGATAAGGAAGGCGTGGTGAAAAGTAAATTACTAAAAGATTTTTTCAACGAAAAGAAGAGCTACCGCAGTAGTCACTTACCCGCCTTCGCAATTCAAAGAATAAGACTTTTTAAGGATCTGCTTTGAGAGTGCTTTTCAATGTCTTTCTATTTTCAACAACCAGAACTGCCAAATTCTAGATAAACCTCATGTAGTTTACAGCAATACCTCCTTCTCAGTTTGTCAGGACCAGTGTTGACTTTTGTGAATCAGGAGTGCCATGAATACTACAGACGAAGCCACTGCTGCCGATGCGAATGCAACCACCAAAGCCAAGACTGGACGGACTGTAAAAAGTGTGATACCGAAACGAAGGTGAGTAGTTTGCAAGTAGAACTCATCCTTGTTTAACCATGCACTGCAACAGAAGTACAGATGAATTCTGCTCAGTTCTCGATGCAATGAATTCCATTCATCAGATGAAGCACCTCAATGTTGATACCTATCTCATAAGAGCTTATCTAAGTGTTGATAAAGAGCTGGGATAGGAAGATGGAACAGCACTGATCGACAGAATTGAATAAGATATAGCTTCACTGTTGTCATCTTTGTAAACATGCAGCTCTTAAACGCGTAAATAGAAGGGGTTATTCTTTCTAGTTGACAACATGGTTGTTCCCTCTTATCTAAATTTGTGTAAAATGATTAAATTTTATGATTTCGACCTGTCTCGCATTAATACCTCTATTAAACCTACATATATGTGAAACGTTGCCTAAAAGCGCAAAAATTGGCCCTTGTGGGCTATTTGAATTAGTAAAAAAAAAAAAAAAAAAAAAAAAAAAGTAAGAATGGCCTCTAGTGAGTGGTAGGGCTATTCTATCGGTTGTCGGTAAGCTACTGAAAAAGTTCCGTCAAGGAAAAGTTACGATAAGAGCGTTCTTGCCGATAGCGTTCAGAGTTTTCGGAGCTGACGAAAATAAAATGTTGCCATTTGTACATCTATTTTACGCGCCGCCGCGCCAGGCAATCTGATAAACTGACACACAGGGCAACAATGCATTGAGTGCGAGCTCTCAAAAATCCGATAAGGCCGGCTGTTAACAATACCACAGCCACTGTCGGCACTGCCGCCAGTTTTGGTAAGAGACGATATTGATAGTGTTCCGGCAAGAATTCGTTTGAACACCCCTAGTGAGAGGTGCCCTAAGGAAGCTTCCTTGTAGTTTGATTTATTAACTATCTGCATGTGGGCCTTCTAGAATATTAATGCCATCATTACATAGCCACTTCTGTTGAAATTAACCCTTTGGCTTCTACGGACAAGAATATTTCTCATTGCAAAACTGCACTGAGCCCTCGTGGACGAGCATTCATATCTTGGAACCTCAAAAATCTTCATTTTTGTTGTTTCTTATTTTGTTAAAAAATTTGGTGCTGCTAGTAATTAACTTCTGGTGACTGATCTTCACTTGTACATACTTAAAGATAAGGCACACTTTCAAGCTATTTGTTTGAGAATTAGGCAAATAATGGCAAGAAAACTGAAACAGTCATTTTTGCCGTTCCTAATCTGTGAGAGCACAAGGTGAAAATCTAACTCTGGAGTTGGAGGGTTATGGGAAAATTTAGTTTTGCATGGATTCAGTTTATTGACAGAAACTTTTCAGTAGCATCAGATTGCAAGTTGCCAGAAAAAGAGGTCTGAAGTATTATTGCTTTAAAATCTGCAATGTTCAAATAAATTTCAACGACTATCTTCAAGTTAAAAATTATTTTTTCTTAGGTTTGAATTTTTGAAAGGAAACAATGTATGCAGGGCCGGATTAAGGGGGTGGCCACAAGGGCCGTGGTCCATGGCGGCAAATTTAGGGGGTGGCAAATTTTGCAATTTTTTTAAATGCAGGTATAAAAAAACAAATCGGATTCAGAAAAAAAATTATCAATGAGAAAAGGGGACAAAATCTCTCTTTCCTGAGAGTATAGTAATTTCTAATATTGTCGTTTTTCGGTGATACAAGAGACAGCATCTTTAGTTAGTCGAGTTAAGAGAGGAACTTATCACGCAATTTGGCCTGGAGCTCAGCGCAGAGAGGAATGATGACGAGGACTTCAGATGAAAAGGACAAGCCCTCGGCGCGGCGGTCAGCTATCAGCATGTAACGCATATTAGCGCCTACATAACTGCATGAATACTTCACGCATTGCGTCAAAGGCAGTGCGGTCAGCAGCGGTCGGCGTGAGACGCATAGCGCCTACAAGACTGCATGAATACTTCACGCATCGCGTCGAACACGACAGTGCGGTCAGCAGCTTGCAGCGGTTGACGTGAAACGCATAGCGCCTACAAGACTGTAGAAATACTTCACGCATTGCGCCAAACACCATGCGGTCAGCGCGACACGGCGCGCGGCGCGGCGGCGGCGGAAGTTAAGATTATTGAACCACATTTATGTTTGTTCTTTCATATAAATGGAAGGCCTTGTCCACACAGAGATAGGTTTACGGAACTCACGTTCGCGCAAAGTTTCGTGAACTTTTGGTAGTATTGTTGACAGGCATGACTACAAGGTCAGGTACAGGTTGACTACAAGACTGCAGGACAAGATCCATCCATATAGGTCAGTCATTCCCGAAACCCAAATGAGAATCTTCTGCGCATGACGTCAGCATTACTGCTGCGAAAACCAGAAATGTCGGAAACAATGCTTTTCTTATGGGAGAGAACAAATTTTTCTTAATGAATCATTTAAATTTCTTACTTTTAAATTCTTTGAAGCTTTCTGAGTGTCGAAAGGAACGTTTAGAAATTAGCGTCAAGGGTTTCAATTCAGCTGAATTTGCGTTTTTATATTTTTGAATGATTTTTGAAGTCAGCGATGTAACAAGCCATCTAGTGGTATAGATTCGCGTGTAAAAATGGCTGATGCAGAGTAAACTGTAAAAATGAAAGAACACAAATTCGGCAAAATCGAAACCCTGAATGCTAATGTCTAAACGTTCTTTTCGACACACAGAAAGTTTCAAAGGATTTAAAAGTAAGAAATTTAAATGATTCATTAAGAAAAATTTGCTCTCTCCCATAAGAAAAGCATTGTTTCCGACTTTTCTGGTTTTCGCGGCAGTAATGCTGACGTCACGAGCCAATGGAAAGGGGCTTACCCCGAGCGGGGAAATCTTCGCAATGACTGACCTATAAGGATGGATCTTGCTGCAGGAATACTTCACGCATTGCGCCAAACACAGGGCGATCAGCGCGGCGCAGCGGCGGAAGTTAAAATTATTAAACCACATTTATGTTTCTTCTTTCATAATTTTTTGTTCACTTCATATAAATGGAGGACCTTGTCCACACAGAGATAGGTTTACGGAACTTAACTTTCGCGCAAAGTTCCGTGAAATTTTGCTAGTAGTGTTGACAGGGCTTTCGCAAAAAATTTATCCAACACGAGTAGGTAAACGCGTCTTACGCACCCCTCCCTCTCCGGCACGTTCACTTGATGGTTTTCATTGATGTTTCAAAACGTATGAGAAGGGGGCGGCAAAATACCGGCGGCCCATGGGCGGCAAGTAGGTAAATCCGGCCCTGCATGTGTGTAGGTACAACTTATTGAATTCAAAACCACTCCAAATTCATTTTATTCCAAAATGACTTGATTCAATTCTGTTACTTAAACTCTGTTCATTTAAGCAATGGTCATCTTTTTGACGCACCAGTTTGTGGTATCACCCGCCCGGCAAAATTACGTCGTGGCAACGTTGCCAAAACGTTGCAATTTCGCCGTTTACGTATTCGGGCAACGTTGTGGTAACGTTGCCACAACGTGTAATTTTGTCAGCTTGCATGAACGTAATAGGCAATGTGTCTGCAATGTGTTTTAGCAACATAATGGGAATGTTGCAAAAATACGGTGAAAAAAATTTCGGTGATTTTTTAGGAGTACTCTGCATTTTTACCCCTAGAATTCAATGTGGACTGCAGAGAAGTGTTTCTTAGGCACCCGAAATTCACTCTAAGTCCGAAAGTAGCCGCGCTCCGCCCGGGTTCCCAAGCGGACTCCCATTGAAGTACTAACTACGCCCGACGTTGCTGAACTTCAGTGATCGCCCGTGTGTCGCTGCCACTCAGCCACGGACGCTCGCGGGAGAGGGATCGATTATTTAGCATTAATAAACATCCCCAGATCTGGTTCAATGATAGAAAGCAATGATATTCTTGCATTTCTGTGCATAATTCTACAACGAAGGATACTGAACATAATATTAGGAAGCTCAAGTTTTTAAAAAAAAGGAGTATGAAAAAAGAATTAAAAAAGAATTGAATAAATATATTCATTTTATATAAATAAAATTATTATTATTTTAATTATTTATCAAATTATATTATAATTATTTTTATTATTATAATTATTTGGTATTTTTATTTTGTATTAAATTATTTTCTAATTATTTATATTTCTTTTTATTATTTTATTTTTTATTTTTAAATTATTTTTTTATTTTTTTTAATTTTATCTTCATTTGTATATTTTTATTGTTAATTTTTTTATTTTTTTATTTATCGATCAATTTTTTTTTTTTTTATTTTTGTATATACATATACATATTTTTGCGACATTGTATGAGGGCGCATTCCCTTATATTGATTGGAGAAAATCATCTGTTGAGAAACAACAGAAAAGAGAACACCTGAAACAGTGTAAAAGTGTCCCCTCCGATTTGCAGCACATCATCTGCCTGACCTCATATCTGAATTCTACGACCAAAATTACACAGGGATTGATACCTCACATGACACTATATGCGCATTTTAAAAAACCGAAATCCCAGAGGTCTTATTATGGCCGCCATTTTGAAATTTAGGCATTTTGGGGGATGTTCCGGGGTCGGACCGTGGTAAACTTTTGGTATGTTTTTCAGGAGGACCTACTGATGACGTTTACATAGGAAAAGTTTGTTAAGCAATTTGTTCCGGGTCAAATCGTGTTTCTCCCTGACTAATAATGCTTAACAACGTTGTCACAATATATCTAAGAAATATTTATTGAAACGTTTTTTAATAATGTTTCAGAAACATTTCTAAAAACGTTTTGAAAATATTGTCTAAAATATAATGTCAGGCAACATTGCTGAAACATTGCTTAAACGTTGCTGCTTTACCTTTACAAGGCAATATCATCAAAAATGCTGCCTTGCAACGTTTGCGGCAACGTACACATTGCTCCCTTGCCGGGCGGGCAATAGCCTATCTAGCTACTGTATTGTCATTTATTCAATTGAAGCAACAATTATTTATTAATACAGATGAATAAAAAGGATCGATCAACCTACCTGTTTATCTCATGAAGTGAAATATTTCAGAAATTATGGAAACACTCAAGGAATCCTAATTACACAAGAAAATTTGCATAAATTTTCAGGAGATCATACGGATCAAATTTCTAATTCATTAAAAAAAAAAAAAATTGACGAGAAATCTACGGGGCTCCGATCAAAGATACCTAATTTTTGAGTTCAGGCGTTGGTATGAAATAAAGATCAAATTGGAAGATTCCCTAAGCTAAAATTCTCTATTAAACTCTTCCGCCGCTATTTTAAACTTTAAAAAGACTTGATCAAAAATTATTATGGCAAAGAAGATCTCCGCGCAGCAAGCAGTTACAATTTAAGATAGATCCACGTCCATAATTGATTCAACTGCCACCTTCTGAAACGACTCCATATTTTTTGCCTCTCTTAAAATCATTCTAAAACTCAATGAACTTAGCCATTAACGAGAATCAGTTATGTTATTGACTGTCAAGAATCAATTACACTGTGTTATATTCAACACAGGGACACTAGACGTACAATGTGTGTTTTTTGGAAACAAAATTTGTTCCAATGAAAGCGTTTTTTAGCTTCATGTCTAGATCAAATCAGTTTTTTACCGTAGGAAAACCTACATTTTTCAAATATTTAAAATTTTAATTAAATATCAAAATTGGTTCGACCATAAGTTAAGAGACTGTCAATAAAGTGCATCAAGCTATGTAGAGGGGCCTGAGGGGCTTGAGCGAAACCAGGAACTTTTCATGAGAGGGGGAAAGAAGGGTACCTCATCAAGGGGGTCGGGGGCACGAAAAAAAAAACAAACTAATGGGAGTCTGCCACTGCGTCTGTGTGATTCTAGTACTGTGAGTCTTAATCAAGTCTTAATCCACCAAACTCTTTCAAATTCTTCAATCTTTCAAATCTAATCAGTCATAATCTGATTTACAGAAAGATTTTCTTTAAATTCCACATTCGAATTGCAAGTGCATTTGCTTTACGACAAGTGCACCTCTATCAGTTTAAGGCTCAATGAACTAAATTTTTGTACTTAGCTGTTCTATAAAATCTGAGTTTTTTTTAACATTACAGATAACGGAAAACTCTTTCAACTCCAAAGAACGCGAAAAATAATGGGAAAATTTACGAAGTTGGGTTCAAACCCAGCATGCAACTATTTCAACTCCGCGGTGGGCTGGGTTGCATATCGACGGTGAAACTGCCAAACCACGTATCTCGATTTGCGACGTCGCAGACTTCTTGTCATACTTTATTTTTTAAATGAAAAACTACTTAACGTCCAGTCTTGAAAATTTCTGTGATTTTTCCTCTTCGTGATGAGAAAATTCTGTGAAAATTTCAAGGAATGATATTGATTTGGTCTACTTCAAAAAAAATAAAATGTGAGCGTAGATTTTTAAACACCGCAAACGAGATACGTGGTTTGGTAGTTTCACCGTCGATATGCAAGATTTTGCGGGCGAAATCTGCGAGCTGCCCACGGCCTATGCCTGCCTGCGATCTATGGCTCTCTCGATAGGGTAGGTACAGGTGCGATCGGTGTTTTCCTCGAGCGTACATGATGCCATGCCCACCGCGGAGTTAAAATTGCGGCATGTTGTGTCCAAACTGGACTTTGTATACTTATTTTTCCATGGTTTAATTACATTCAAAGCATTATTCAAAAGCCAACTTCGTCGGTCAGAAAGCACCTTAGTTTGTTTCTAATATCGCGTTATAAATCTGTGCGACAGGAGCGTTTCATAGTTGACCGAAATTGAAGTCACGCAGCACGCAGGAGGAAAACGCTAATTGCACCCGTTCTCTGTAGCAAAAGCCGTGGACGGATCTCAGATTTCGCCCGCAAAATCGAGCGTATGCAACCAGGCTCACAGCGGAGCTAAAATAGTTGTATGTTGGGTTCGAACCCAACTTCGAATATTCTGCCAATGCGTTACGCTCCGCGCATTATCCTAATACCAAGTGTGACTCTCGGAAAGGCTCTTCAGTTGGTTTATTTGTTCGTTTGCAATGTTTTTTTCTCTGTTAACTGATGAGCCTTGAGAAATCCCTGCTAAAAATTTCCCATGTAGATTCACGTAGAAATTACCCAATTTCCGTATGACTTCATGGAAATCGTCCGACTTTCTTGTCTTTTGATGTTTTTTAAGGTCAATTCCATGAAACCGTCATGGAAATGAGAACTTTCTCCTGTGAGCTCGATATGGAACAGAACTCTAAAACACTCCCATGCAACTCACACGGAAACCAGGTCATTTATGTCTAAATCTTCATGAACATGGAAACACCTCCTTGGGCTCGACATGGAACTCGCAACACTTCCATGTAGCTCACATGGGAGCCAGGTCTTTTCCATCAAGTCCTTGTGGAATCGAAAATGTCCCTCTTAGTTCGGCTTGGACATAGAAATTTCAGATTTCTACATGGGTTTCGCGGAGTTAAAAACTTTTCTAACATGGTCAATTATTTACTTTTTGTAAATGGTTGTAAAGAATTAAAAATAGATGTGCGTATGTGTGCGAAACGTTTGTGTCAAGTAGCGTTCTACTCAATGACTTGCTGAGAAAGTAATACGTGTTTTCACCTTTTCAGGACTGACCTGCTGAAATGGAACGGTTGGGGTTATCAAGACTCCAAATTCATTGTTGAGGACTATACGATCCAATTTACCGGAAAGCGGTAAGTCCACGTGTTGAGTTTTCCCTATTATATTTGTGATAATAGCGTCTACTTTTTTTTGGAAACATTAATCAAAATACGAGCTCAAATGCAAAATAGTAATTTTTAAGGAAATATCGACCGTGAAACTGCAGGAACGTGTATCTTCGTTTTCGACGCTCCAGACTTCTTGAACGTCATTTCTTGAAAACTGCCACTGATAATGGTTGATAACTTTTTAGAGGGTGCAGAACTGTGTTACGGGGGTGCGTTACGCTCGAGAAGGGGGAGCGGGGGACAAAATAATCCGATTTTTAACGCTGAGTATTTTATGGAAGGCCCTGAGCTTTATCACCATTTTTGATTTTTAAAATTCTGACGCAGTGGTGTCAAGAGACAAGCTCTCCTTTTGAACCTCAGACTCTCTGTCTAATCCCGAAGAAAAAAGTGTCAGCGCAGTCTATCGTGCCGACCCATTACATATTATCCTTTCGCCCTTCATTGTTTTGATAAGAAAGTTACTAAGGTCCTGCGCGATGAACGGAAGGGAGCAGCACATCTCTTTATGTTACTTGTGACCGTGAGCTCACGCGATTTCCTCGTCCTGTAGAATTCGTCCCCGTCAACTTAATGTATCTGAATCGATTTGCATGATATCTGCATGACAAATCATTACAGGGTCATAAAACTGCCTTTCTAGATGAAGCCTCGGTGCGGCGGTGACTTGCAAAGTTTAGCAATTTCGATGGACTATGACTTGAACGCCTCTTTTGGTGACGAACAAATTTTGAAGACCCGTGTAACTAGATGCATATTCCCGCTTTGATCGAAAGGTGTGGTAAATGCGTTGATGGATTGGAGATTCAGGACCGTGATTACGAAAATTAGGCTCGAATGACCCGTCGCGTAAGCAGTAAACACCATGCCACGTGCCTGTTGCGATGCGGCCGCGTGGTTGCGCGACGGTTTCAGTTGCCTCCTGAAAAAATGCAAGCCGATATTTCAGCGATAGAATATTTCATAAAATCTGATCGCGTTAAATTTTATGAAATATTGTGAAACACTTGCGATGCTGGAATGCTTTTTTTTTTAAAGAAGAACAAATTGACATCATTCCTTGAAGTTTATACAGAATTTTCTTCGCACAGAGAAGAAAAATCTCGGCATGCAGTTTTAAATAATTGCCGTTGAGAACTTTTCCGTTTTAAAAATAAAGTATGACAGGAAGTCTGCGACGTCGCAAACCGAATTATGTGATTGCCGACTTACACCGTCGATTTAGGAACATGACAGCTAAAAATTTATTCAATAAGGGAACTCATGGTCACACACGAATTACGACGTGTGGGTGTTTTCTTTCGATTAAGGAGTTAGGTTGGGACTGTCTTAAGTCTTATTAAGTCTCTCGACTCCTCCAAAACTCTGAAAGAAAATCGAGATCTGTAGATGTTGCGTTGCGATGAAGATACGTATTTTCTAACATCAGCTATCGATGAGCTTGATTCACAGCCGCTATGGTGATATTGGGTTGATCTTCGCTTTGAGGCGTAATATTTTTGCTCGCGATAGAAAATCGAAAAAAGAAATCGGTTATACAGCCGAATATATTGGGTATTTAGATGTTTGTTTACCGCCGATATTGATCCTTGTTTACTGCCGATATTGATTCATGTTTACTGCCAATGTCGATTCACTGTATGAATGATCCTGCGATCCGATTCAAATCTGTCGCAAAGGCGTGGAACTGCCGCGGAAGACTGAAGTTAGGTTAGATTGGGTCACGCAACTAAATTAACTTCACGGTAATGCGAGAGGTATCACGCAGAAATGAAGGCGCGCCAGATTAGATCGCGTTAATTTCTGCGGAAGCTGCGATTAACGGCCAGAGTGTCTACAAGTCCGGAAATAGTACTGATTTTTTAAGGGCGGTCCGGAAGTACTGAAGAAGTGCGGAAATTCCGCTAGAAGGTCCGGAATTTTTCAATTTTGTCACAATTTGAGAGAGAAATTCAAATTGTTTTCTTGAATTTCGTCAAATGGAGGTACTGAAAAAGTACCTACTGATTTTTCCTTTGAGGAGGTACTGAATTTCTCGGGAATGTACTGTAAAAGTACTGATTTTTGGCCAGTCTTATGCTTTTTTGACCTAATAGGACAGGCATTTTTGACCTTACTTTACTTGATTTATTGACGGAAATACATAATTTTGGGAGTTCTTTCTAACTTTCAGTAGAAACGTGAAAAGATAAGTTACTCAAAGATAAATTTGACTCGTTTCTGTGGGCATTTCGTGTTGAAACTTTACAGGCTAGTGGTATTTTAATCGTAGAATTCATTTCAGACCTTACTTTTCTTGATATTTTAACGCAAACGCACGATTTTTGGGGGTTTTCAAACTTCCGGCGGAAACATAAAAAGATAAGTTGCTCAAAGATAAATTTTACTCGTTCTTATCGTTAAACTCGCCGCGGTGAGTTAAAGGATTATCTCCTTTTCTCTTTGGTACGCTTTGTACGAAGAGAAACGTAGGTACTGCAACTTTTCGAAAAATTTAGATATTTTTAGTCACAGTCAAAAATTATTAAACTTTTGACATTGCCACAATGAGTATGCCAACTAATATACTGCCAATCTCGGAATATTGTATATTTTACACACGTAAAGCTCAGTTTATGAAAAAGTCCAATCCATTGCGAATTTGTGGTCATTAGAAGAAAACTTGTTTCTATAATACTGCGAAAAATCGCGATCATTTTCGCGCCTTCGAGTATGAGGATATGCTAAATGCACACTTTGCCTAACGATTGAAATAATCTTACGATAGTATCACAACTTTTAGCAATCTCTGCTACCTGGGCCCTGGCCCTTAAGTTTTAGAGTTTTTTCTTAAAGTTTCTCATATTCATAAATAATCAAAGCATTTTAGCGGCAGTGAAACTTACAAAGTTAATACAAAAATGCCTGGAATATATTGCAGTAATATTTTTCGGCAACCTCACCATAGCTTCCCCTAGGCAGTGTATTTCCCAACCATTTCTTCTGCAAACCCGTAAAAATATCAATCGGCGGTGTTTTCTCTACTCCCTCTTGTATACTTCATTAATTTTCATCTCTCAATTTTTTCAGGTATCCAATAGAAGGTAAATTACCTTATTTTACAAGCTGGGTCCTAGAGAGGTTCAATGTAGACCTAAAGAGGCGCAATTTACCGAAAGACCAATTCAAGCCAGAAGAATATCCCGAACCAATCATAAAAACAGGTATATTATCCTTCAGCAATAAAAATGAGAAAAATTATTAACGGGAAATTTTGTTCTGGGTGCCAAAACACTGTGGCATGCGTATAAGACCTCATTAATCTAGTGCATTTTGCCATTGAAACTGAATCACGAAGTGACCACCTCTGCCGGGTCCCGCGGGCCGATTATTGAAATTGATAGACAAAGCTATCGACAAAGAAGACAAAAGGGATATGAAAGGATCCTATCGGTGGAAGCGGAAGGTTGCAATGGACAAAGGCAGTAATTAATAGACTAACTAATGGCAACCCACGAGAAACTCGACAGTTAGTCCATCATTTTCTCCCTTAGTCTACAGGAACCACACATTTCAACCAATAGCATCACTTTGTACTCCCTATGCCCTTTTTGTCTATCGCTTTGTCTATCGATTTCAATAATCAGCTCGCTGCAGTCTTACCTACAGATGCTTTTTGTAGTTATCAGCAAACAAGGAAGAAAATAAATAAAATTGCAATATGCAGCATAGGTTTATGAATGAAAATTACCGATAAGAGATTGGAAAGCCTCATGCCAAAGTTCTACTGGAAGAAGGCTTTTCTAAGTCAGTGGAAACCATTCTCTCATGGTTCAGTCCAGGCTTTTAAAGGAATAAATACATCATACATACATTATTTTCGTACAGTTACTAACTCAGAGTAAAAGACTCTACCCTTAAAATAGTATTTACTTTTAGATAAAGCACAATGATGAGACATGCATTATTGATTATTGATATTTCCACATTTGAAGCTATGGTAAAAAATAGATTATTAAGGTGTTATTGATTAGTTTATTGATCCATTTCCATAGATTTAAATGGTTGATCAATCAATATATTGCAAAGCACGCCACGCCTGGATAAAGTATTATTTTTTCATGTGATTTGATTTGTCAAGGGAAGAGAAACTGTATTTGCATTGCACAAGAAATACAAAAATTGACGAAAGTTTTTTTTTCTCTCTTGTCCAAATTGAAACTTAATAAATACACGGAAAGAACTTCTCATGAAGCATATATAAGGTAAAAAAATCAACAGTAAGCTGCAAAAAGGCTGCTCCGTTGGTTGCATAGCCCTACAAAATTGTGAGAGTTGACGTCAAATGACATTCGCTACTTCCTCAAGGGTGTTTTCATGTAATGACAAACTTGATTTAACAATGTCTTTTGCCAATCAGATGAATGTCATTGTACGGAGATTTCACTGTTTCTACTTGTAACTCTATTTTATCAAATCAATCTTCATTTTGTTTCAATTTTGTATTGTTTTCTGCCTTCAGAATTCATCGAAAGTCTCAAGAGTTTAAATGTGGACCACTCTATCGATGGGCTGGATCGTCTAGTCAGAGCTCATGGCCAAACACTTCATGATATCTACCAGATACGGAAAGGAATAGTTCACAGGATACCTGATGTTGTTGTTTGGCCAGGTAAGTTTTGGCCTGCCTGGCTTTGTCCGAATGTTTTCATTTAAGAGACATGCATCGAAATTAGCTATCCTCTGTAGGTGTTGAATTTAAAAAGGTCCTAAGTAATGGTCCTAAGTATTCATGGATTTGAAGCAGGAAGCAGGGAATCAGTGGAGTCGTAAAACACGGAAAAGCTGAGGAAAACTCTCCTGCTGTGCTGAGGAAATAGACAGTATAAGCCTTCAGACCTTGTCAAATTTCTTCTGATAAAATATTTTTCTTTCAATTATTCAGAGAATTTAATTTACAGTTCAATCTATAGTGTTTGAAAATATCATGGGAAAATATTTACAAATATCCTTGAGAATGAATGTTTTATGCAGGGAAATTTGGCAACATCCGTAGGTTCATGCGGCATTTTTCCTTAGCACAGCAGTCTTAGGAAGTGGAAAATGTTGGAAATCGAATTTTAATGAGTGCCACATAATGGATGATAACAAACGATAGCAAGATTTTGGGGAAACTATGTATTTAAGACTGTCCAGGTCGCCTTGTATTTTTAAGGAGGTGTAGCAACGTTTTGTAGGAAAATGATAGAGTATTTTCTTTAGAGTATTTCCTTTTTCAACCAATTCAAAGAGATTCTTCAAGTGACTCTTGAAGGTGCTGCTATGAATGAAGGAGGTAAATCCTCTTAACTAATTGGACACAAAATTGAGTTAGCAACCAATTTAATATTCTCTGTTCCATGTATTTCTATTCTGGTGGAAGCCTCTTGTATACTGCAATCATGAATTAAATCTGATCTTCAAGGACAGATGAAAAATTTTACACTGAGAAATACTCATCCAAAGGATGGATAGATGAAAATCATTTTACTTATTATCTTCCTTCTTTTTTTCAGGTTGTCACCAAGATGTTGTCAATATAGTAGAGCTAGCAAATAAATTTAATGTAGTAATAATCCCTTTTGGTGGAGGAACAAGTGTATCTTGTGCTCCCTGCTGTCCAGAATATGAAACTAGAACAATTCTATCTTTGGATACATCACAAATGGTAATATTTTTTTGTCACATCATTTTTGTTTGCTTGAAGTGAAAAAAGACAATGCAGACTCTCCATTTGTACTCTCAGGAAACCGTAAACATAGATTTTAAGAGTAGATCATCACATGGAGGGAACGTGAGGCTCAGATTCAGCTGAGGAATCAGAGAGCTGTTACACATTTATAACTGCTAACAATATAATGTATCAAATTAATTTTAAGTTTACCAACACTAGTTTTGCAGTTTCATCGTCAATATGTTCTGGGCTGATGAAGGTAAATAAAAAGATAATATTCCTTTGAGGCAAAATTTCTATCTAACAGTGCTTTAACCTATTTTTTTGCAGAATAGTGTTCTATGGATGGACTTTGAAAACTTGACAGCCTGTTTTGAAGCCGGTATTATAGGTCAGGATCTTGAGAGAACATTGCAAGAGCAAGGTTATACTACAGGTCATGAACCAGACTCCTATGAATTTTCAAGGTAATTTAAGTTCGATCCTCATAAATTTAGGGTATCTTCAGATCTGGAACACCAAAAAAACTGAGAACTGTCCCAGAATTTTTTCAAGTGCTGATTAACTAAAAAGTATTCAATTCAAAGTATTAGTGTTCCATATCTAATCATAAGAACCCGATTTTTGTATGTAATGGATTTCATCTTGTATTATTAAAGAAGAACCTGAAGAATTATTAAAAAACTCACCTCCGAGAGTCCTGTCCTATCGCAAATTTCTCCCTCCATATTTTTCTTCCTCCCCTTCCTCTCCCATCTGTCTGTTTGGTTGGAAGTTTAAGTGTCTATAAAGTTGTGAAAAGAGTAGATACTAAAATCTGAGCCAACCTCAAACAGTTTTTAGCACAGTTTTTAACAAAAAAACAAGATTGTCAATTTTTCCGGGAATCATATAGTTTTCAAGATCCTTCTGAAGTGTCTCTATTTGTGCCCTCTCTAAACTGAGTCACAAGTTTCAACACAAACAAGAAAAGTCTCACTCCTCGAGTTAACATGAGGGTGTTAAAGGCTCCGTAGTGTGAAATTTCAGTCAAAGATTATTTTGGACAAGCCTTTAAATATAGGCAAAGTGAAGGCACAGACTTTTCTTCTTTTGGTAAAAAGATGCTGATCTGCATTTTTATTTCCAGCTTAGGTGGCTGGGTGGCAACACGAGCGTCAGGCATGAAGAAAAACGTCTACGGTAATATTGAAGATTTACTAGTCCATGTGAAAATGGTGACATCAAAAGGTGTCTTAGAGAAAAGTTGTCAGATGCCTCGTATTTCCTGTGGGCCAGACTTTAATCATATTGTCCTCGGCTCAGAAGGTAAATGTTATTGCCTTCTTACCTCTCTTACAGGGCACATTGCATAGAAGTATGCAAGTGGAGCAAATTATTTCGATCTATCCTGTGTACATTCTGAGTTATCAGATATGGTATGCATTATTTTTTCTTTCAATCCCTGTAACATGATCAAAAGTTTTCTGTCAATTTTTTGATGCTGAAATCATTGACTGGTTTTTTCCAAAAGTTTAAAGTCAAAATAAAATTTTTGATCGTAAAATACTTACAATCGACCTATTACAAGTATCCAAAATGTTGTTGTATTGACACTTTTGATCGCATCTTTAACTGAAGAAAGTTACTGCTCAGTTATGACTTTTTTCCAATTTTTCCAGAAAAATTTAAGTTTCATTATTCAATTTACTGAAGTCCGTCCTCTTTTTTTGCCTTCAGGTACATTAGGCGTCATCACAGAAGTTGTCTTGAAAATTAGACCTTTACCAAAGTGCAAGAAATATGGGTCCTTAGTTTTTCGAAATTTTGAGTCTGGTGTAAAATGTTTAAGGGAAATAGCAAGACAAGTAAGTGAAGTTTTTATATCTACTTGTAAGTGTTCCATTTTTTACCATATAAATGCTAGAATAACCATTTACAAAATAATTTCTTAAATGGTAATTTTTCAAGTTGGGCAGTTTAACTATAAAAAGAAATATCGCTCATCATCCAGTTTATTTTAGTGGTTAAAACCTGGGAAATTTTTTATTTATTTCCTTAATCATGACAAGAGAGAGCAGGAAGAATTGGAAATGACATCTTACTGATCTTAGGGTTCTGGTTTACCATGATATTGATAAAACATTACTCTTGTTTTATGGTTTAAAAATATGGTTAACATATAAAAATCAGTATGGCGATTGCAAGTAGAAAAAAAAACAAAAACCACTTAATATGCAAGCCTTTCATGTAAACAATCTAACGTAACATTGTTTTTCCCGGTGGAAACTTTTCATCTGTGAGATACGCAATCTTCAAGTCAGCATGATGAACATTTTTGAAGTCTTCTAACATTTGAATTCGCTCATCTCAGAATCATTCATGTAGATCCAATTTTTGGAGTGAAATTGGACCGTGTTAAACAGAAAGGAACCATGCTACATCAGCTATTGTCAAATTTAACTGGGCAATTTAATTTTTTACATGAAAACGATTGTGCGGATTTTCGTGCAAATTTCAGTGAATTTTCCCCATTGTAGGAAGAAAATTCCTAAAATTTTTCAAAGGAATCCGCACAAAAGTTCTCTTATAAAAAATTAAATTGCTCTGTTAAATTTTGCCATAGCTGATGTGGCTTGGCTCCTTTCTGTTAAACGCGATCCAATTCATACTAATAATAACTATCCTTTCTTTGTGTCCAAATTCATCAATGGTTTGGAACTAGTCCTTGGAAAGGAAAATGGCCAGTACTTTAAGGCAAAATATGTTTGCACCCCAAACTTTTGATCGGTTTAAGGTAGGGTTTTTTTAATCTTTGTTTCATAAATGTGTCAAGAAAGTCTTGATGAAATTGAAGGAAACTGGACAGCATGGAATTTTGCTCCCATTATTTTCCATTTCATCAATTTTACTATCAATCTCTAATAATAGCCTATCATGCTTTTCTTTCTCACAGAGGTGCCAGCCAGTTTCAATAAGATTGATGGATAATGAACAATTTAAATTCGGGATGAGCCTTCGTCCTGTGCCTGGATACTTCCGCTCTTTTGCAGATTACTTCAAAAGGATTTATGTGACAAAAATTCGTGGCTTTGACATCGACCAGATGTGTGTGGCAACCCTCCTCTTTGAAGGTGATGATCATGGTCTTTCTTTCTCTTTCACTCACAATACTTTTAATTTTTCCCTTTTAATCTTTTATGTTCAAAATTATGCATGATAATAATACATGATGGAGATAAGAGGTATAAATCATCGTTGTCGATGCAATCATTTAATCTTTTTCATGTGCAAATTTCATGCATTAGCACATCATTAGTCATTTTCTCGATGTCTCTGTGTTACAGCCAGTCAAACTTCAAATTACATGCAACCTGCAAGAAAGAAGAAAAAAAAAACTGAACGAAATTTTGTGGAAACAAAAAATACCATCAAACCAAGAACTGTTTAAAGAAAAAAGAAAAAATCAATGTATAAAGGAAAAAGTAAAAATCAATGTAAAAAGGAAAAAGTAAAAATGTGAAAATAGATAAAATCAGACCACAAGAGAAGTACAGAATTATTTCTCTTGAAATTGAGTTCCAAAAGGTTTATATGTTTATCATTTTTTTAGAATCTACTCGTGTCAAGTAATGCAATTTTTACTTTAAATTAAAAAGCATTATCCTTCGTGACAGCAAATTTTTAATGAAAATAATTAGAATTAAAAAAACAAAATAAGTAGTAAAATGAGCTTTTGTTTGCACAGGTGATCCAAAAGATGTGGCAGCTCATGAGAGAAAAATCACATCAATAGCACGAGAGTTTGGTGGACTTGCAGGAGGTGGTCAGAATGGCGAACGTGGCTACATGCTTACATTCATCATTGCTTACATCCGTGATCTAGCACTTGATTACAGCATTGTGGCGGAGTCGTTTGAAACCTCTGTGCCGTGGGACAAAGCCAATTCTCTCTGTGAAAATGTTAAAAAATGTGTTGCCTCCGAATGCGAAGGTTAGATTCAATCTTCTCTCCGTTGTTGAGTAGTCATATAAGTCAGCATAGATTCCTAAAAGGAGCAATTTGAGTTTCTCAATTATCACAATTATGGGCTGTGCGTAATTTGTTCTAACATGATGCCCAGTTAGGAGTTTACAGTAGCTTTTTGAGCTTATTCAAGGGGCTTAATAGGGCAGGTCTAAAGGATACCTCTTTTTTTAGTTAATAGCAAAAAAAGAGCATCAACTGTGATGAAAGCCAATTGGATAAAACTCCGGTCCTCTACACCACTTAAATATGAAGTCTTTGCCTTTCAAAGGGTTAAAAATCAAAATATGCATTCTTCCGAAAATCTAAACATCAGTATGCAAGGAATTTGTTGATTGAAGTTCTTTTATTGCAAAAATGTCAACCGTTTTGATGTGAGGAGAAAGGATTAATTAAAAAATTGTGACTTTTCGGCTCTCAAAATAGCCCTTTTTGTCACTCTGTGGAAAGCATTTTTAATATGTACAAATTTTGAGAATATGATAAGAGATAATACTCATCTCTCACAAAGTCTGCAAGTGGCAATCTGGTGGTCAAAAATGTCGTTAGTTTTGAAATATTATTAACATTGTGCAAAACATATGGTCATGCACCAGCTTGTTTTGATAGCCTCTTGTTTATTTTTTTATTAATGTATTTTTACTATGAATCTAAAGTCCTTACATTTTTCAAATTATGAGTCCGGCTATTCCTTTTTCTCTCCACCATCATCAACAAGCATCTCTTTAACCATAAACCACCTATCAATTTTCTCTTTCTTCCATACTGAAATCATTTGCGCATTTCCATGGTTTTCAATGGTTACTCTTTAAAAGCATGCGACTGCAACACTTCCATGTATTCAAACAACTTCTATGTTGTACCTGTAACTTTTATGTATGTTGCTCCATTTTACCTCCTTTCTTTCTTTTTATTCATTTTCTCATTCAGTTGCATACACATTCATATATTCATATTCTGTTTCATGTTTTTAACAGCCAACGGAATCAAGCACTTTCTGATCTCATGTCGGTTAACACAAACATATGACTCTGGTTGCTGCATCTACTTTTACTTTGGATTCAACTGGACGACAGCCGGTGACCCAGTGAAACTCTATGAGCACATAGAGGAATTAGCTCGGGATGAGATCATTCGCTCCGGTGGCTCTATCTCACACCATCATGGCGTAGGTAAGGTTCGTTCCAAATGGTACCCAGGGCAAGTTTCCAGTCTTGGAGTGAGTCTGTACAAGGCAACCAAGAACCAACTTGACCCAAATAATGTATTTGCATGTGGTAATCTTGTCAATCAATTGTAATTTACTGATAATTTTACTGTAAATAAGAAAATATTGAGTAAAGACAGTAAAAGAGGTTCCCAAAATATTATTATGAATAAGAACCATTCATAAAATATGTAACGCTTCATTCCAGATTTTTTGAACCCCCTTGTAACACTCTCATGATGTAGATTCTTTATCACGTAAAAACAAACAGTTGCTCCTTTCCATCCCCCTCCCCCTAGTAGCATTACATATTTTATGAAAGGTTCCATACTGGACTAACTGAAAGCAATGGATTGCATCCAAGAATATTTCTGACAATTGGTCCTTTGTTACGATTTCCTCTAAAAATGGGTCTCAGTTCTTTGCACTGAAAATCTTTGGGAAAAATTAATTTCTCAGGTACTGAATTTCTAGATTGTACAACTTCAAAAATCTCCAAACATACAGTGCATTGTGCCAGTTTATGATCAAAAAGTTGCAAATCTTAACCGGTTTTTCAGGCCCTGTCTACATTTAGCATCAAAGCCCATTACCAATTATTTAATAACATATTCCAATTTGACTTTTTTGTACTCATAGTACAAAAGTCTTTTACCAGTAGTGCTCTTTAAGGGTTACCTGTAAAAGAGACAGATGTTAAGTTTATGAAATGTGAGAAAATTGCTCCCGAAATTTTCTAAACTTTGCATTCTAATAATGCTCACAATCAGCTTACTTGGTCCCCCAAGTAAGCTAGTACAAGAATACATGTATGACAGGGCCATTGTCACAATTGAGTTATGTAGCTCCTTTTGATTTAAATATGTTCAATTGAGCTCCTAGTTGGAAACTTGGGGTACGCACTCCCAATGGCTCAATGTTTTTTAAAAAGAAAATAAACAAACAAACAAATCTTAATCATTTAAAATGACAGACATTAACATTTGTCTCTTTTACAGATCTTTCCTCATATATATATGTGTGTGAATTGCACATAGTCTAAATGATCTAAGTTTTATTTATTTTTGCTACTTGTTTCGGTCTCAAACCAGCAAACAAAATGTTATGGTTGAATTAGTCGTTCAATCATCATGCTGATTGTCTGATTATTCTTTGATTGATCATCACAGATGCATTAAAGTTTCTCCTTGTTTCGAAGAAGCTATGTTTTTCTTGTAGGTGCAATTTCACAGAAATAATATTCCAGTATTTTAGGAGTTAATTTTGAACCCACAGATGTAACTAAGGTAAGCAAGTATGACTGACCTTACTACATCTACGTTAATGAAATCATACGGTGTTTGTTATATGATATTTAAAACCTAGTACGAAGGAAACTTAAAATTAGCAAACTGCCATTTGATCATAAGTCTATAAGTGGACATCGTAATAACCTCTTTTTGTATGATAATGTGACTGATTTCTGTTAAAAAGAAGGAACGTATATTACGGAGAGTCAAGAGTAGTTTTAGATCACCTACTAGTCATATTTTCTACTCTAAAAAATTAAAGTCAGAAGAATAGTATCTAGTTCATAAAAACAGGTGTAAATACTAATCTCTCCCATTAAATTTCGTGGAGGAATAAAAATAATAACTTCTTTTCCTCAGGTTCAACTTGATAAGGGTCGGTCTTTTTCTTCTCTGAAGCAAAAGAAATTTATGATACTTGATATTTTCTTAGCTTGTTGAATTCAAAAGACTTCATTTATTTGTGCAAGTGTAGAGCATAATGTTCTCTGATTATCTATGTGCAGAACTTTTCAAAGTGCTTCAACATTGCTATGAATTCAAATGGCATATGGGAGGTTTGTGCCCAATGAGTCTCTTGTACCGATTCAATGTGGAAGGAAAAATACCTCCAACTCATTAATGATCTAATAGGAACTGATTTTTCCAGGCAAATTCTGCAACGAACTTTTAGACACAAAATGCATTCAAGCATTGTAATTTATGTTTTCTCTCGGCTATTTCTTGTAGAACAGAATTTTTGCAGTAAAAATTATTGAAAGCGGCCTCTAACTAAAATATCAAAATTTTTTAATGCATAATTCAAACGTCCCGCTCATAAAAAAACCATAATCTACTGGAGTTAAATCGCACACTAAATGTTCACACGAACAGTCAATGCAGTATGAAAATTTGGCAACTTCAAATTGACGCTTCAGCTAAGTTTTTGCATGTTTTTGCCTGCCAGAACAGTTAGTTCGTAGTTTAATTCACTCACTTAGGTTTTCTCGTGAGCAGAAAATTCAAATTTTTCGTCGCCAGTGCCAAATACAAATGTTAATATCATGGCTAGGAGTTAATTTAAGTAATTTTTGTTTCGGAAATTGTGTTCTACACTTAAAAATGGAAATTTATTGGACATTTTGAAAAGGAAATGAGAATCAGAATGCTCGAATTCATACCCTTTTTAGTTGTCCATTACACCCAAAAATCACCATAACCAGAGGAGAATATTGTTTTGCATGTAAATGAAGTCTTTATGTAATTTTTTTCAATTTTTTTCTGAAGTCCATGAATGGAGCCATCCACACAAATTTTCTTGTCTTTTCATGAATGCCATTTTATGTATACAAGATTAATTAGTTTTAAATATTTTTCACTCTTCAAAACCAAGTTTGGTTTTTGTTACCTTTTTGACCTATCAAAACTGTTAGATGTTTCATATTTGAGCAGAAAGTGCGTTACTCTCTACTCTTGTATGAGAGAATCATTAATGGTTTAAAAATGATAGTGTGTATGTGTGTTGTGATATTGTAATTTGTTAATAATACGAATTTTTTCCATTATGTATGTATGCATGTCTATGTAACTGTAGTGAATGATTACCACCAAGTTTTACCAAATTCTTTTTTTTCTCATCAGATGAACAATGTGTTCATACTCCATGTGTTTTGCTTTATCTCTTTAACGGTATTCCTATATTGTATTTTCCTTTTAGTGTCTTTCCTATTAATATTAACCCTCGCTGTTTCCAAATCAAATCCTCCTAAAGGTTTGCAACTTTGATTCTACCCTTAAAACTTAAGTTTTTCTTGTATGCTTTGCTTCCTTTTTTAATCAAAATTTTTAATGTGTTTGAAAATACAAGTTCAGAAGTATACACTGAACTTCTCAAACCTGAAGGCATGTATTTTCAAAGCTGATCTCTGAATGATGGCAGGTTTTAATCTATTAAGGATAGGGGGCTAAAATTAAAGACAAAAATATGTATTCAAGATTTTATATAAATATACCAAAAGGAAGTAAATTTTTTTCTCCTTGTCTTAGCTCATAAGGTTAATTTGTTTAGTTCAGATGGATTAAAATTTAGCAGAAAAGCTTGATGTTAAGCCTGTCACTTTTGTAACTTTGTCCTTCAAAACAGCTCATTCAAAGAGAATTTACCACATCATAAAGTAAATTCGTACATTTACAGTGTGCGTCAAAACTTTACTCACTTGCTAAGTTTAATTTAACCTTCCAGTGGAAGAATTCAGATGATCTTGTAGTACATATCTCCAACATCTCCGAAAACTTTTATAGTGAATGTAAATGTTTTTTACATGTTTGTCCCTGAAACAAGTATTGCCCTTTTGTTCCTTTTGGTGCAAATTTTATCAAAGCAACTAATTCTAATTTTTTACCAATCAGATTATTAGCTTACAAGTGCAACTTAGATTAGATTCTTTGTATTAAAAGACTTACTCTGGTTCAAAAAATTTGCTGAAATATGACCTTTTTTCATGGATGATATGAAGTACCGTTGGATTTTTTATGACTTGTTTTTGTTGTTAAAAATACATATTGAAGAAGAAAAAAATTATCAACCGATTGGTCGTAGATCAAAAGAGGAAAAATTTAGAAAAAAAGAGCAGATCTATGGCTCCTCTTGTCATTTCCATCAGAGCTGATACCAGTTCAATTTTCAATCCAAAGACTTTTATGTTAATTTCTGTTTCAAGTCAAATTGTTACCATCTTTTGTAGGTGTTTTGTTAATGAATGTAGTAATCACAATTATTGTAGTCATTTGTGAAGTATTTTTAAAATTAACTTCAAGTATTTCATTTAGTCAAGTCTTTTAGAAATTATGCAGTATTTCTGATTTAGTAATTGCCTTTCCCGGAGGATTTTTAAGGCTTTGTTAAATTTTACAGTCAAAGAGTAAGCTCAAAAATTTATAATTAAGTTGCTGCAATCAAGGATTCGCAAACTACATCCATATCATGTTAATTAACTAACTCATTAGTTAATCTAGTAGTTTTTGTTTGCTACTTTGACAAAAAAAAAAGTACGTCCTAAACTTCTATTTTCAAAGAACAGCTGATCTTTTTTGTACACAAAACGAGTTCTTTGGTTTTTTTTTGGGGGGGGGACCCTAGCACAGTGATCACTGATTTTTCGTTTTAATTTATTGGATATCTTTAAAGAAGTTAACTGATAAGAGACTCTTCAAAGAAATAGCACGTATATGTCAGTATCTTAAGATTGCAGTAGGTTATAATGGTCCACCTATCATAAAAAAATTTAGAAAAATCAAGAGAACTTTTAAAAAAATATATATCTCAGGTTAAACAATTTCTAAGTGTAGGTATTTCTTGCAGTGGTGGTAAAATGGGGCTCCCAACAAGGATTGCTGAAGCTCTATAAAATGTGTCTTTTATTACATTTCTTTAACAGGTTGAATGATAATCACAAGATGAAATGTACAAAGAGGGCTACCGCCACTTAAGAACACAAGTTTTGACTGTTGGTGCCCTAGCTTCAATTTGTTCACTATGCCTTAGTGTTCACCGTGCAGTGGTCTCTCTTTTTTAACATTGCATTTAGATCATTTAACATCATTACCTTTCTCAGGCCCATCCATAATGAATGGGAGACCATATCTTTAATATTTTGACAATTTTTAGTACTTTTATATGACAAAAAAATCTTCTAGAAATTATCGAAAATCTATGACTGAGCCACCACTTTAGTATTTAAAAATTGGCTTTAATCGGATGCCTCTTTCTACCGGTGGCAGCCACCCCACTCAATGAGTATTGCTTTGTGGAAGAAAAATGTGACCAGATCTGTAAAAAGGGGCCTTATCCTCAAGGAGAAACTGTCCCTAAGCTGTTTGCAAATGCATATAGGAAGAAAATATGGAAATTTTGGCGCAAATCTGACCCTAAAACCTCAAAAATTGAAGGCGGCATTTGTCCTGAAGTTCTGAGAATAAAATTCGTAGGTTGTAGAAAACAAGGTTTAAGGAAAATTCTCTCGCAAAAGATAAGGCCCCTTTTCATAAATCTGGTCACAAATATACATAAGATTTTCATAATAAAAGAATCTTCGAATTGGGTAATATTTCACTACTTATTTAACCTTGCCACTTAAAAGTAGTCCACAGGGAGAGTTTACAGTATTTCGTATTATTCTTCTTTATTGTTTGTACTATTGCCTTCAAGTCTCGCATTAATCCAGTCTCTTTTCTTGTATCCACATTGCTTGCTTTTCTGCAAAATGCATAGGTAGGTACAGATAAGTTTTTTTAATGTCTTTTTTCATGTGTTTTTTTAAAAAAAAGTATTGTTTACTAGTATTTTGCACGATTATACAATTATTCACCTAATTCTACCCGGTTTCCGTTATTTTAAAAGTCACCTAATTCTAAGTTTTTTTTTTACAAAGTATTATTTGCAGATTTACCTCGTTTGTAGTGGTCTCAAAACTCTCTAAAATATTAGATGTTCGCCTTAAGTTTCCAACCTCTATTATTTTAGACTAAAAACTATCCTTCGTTGTTTGGGGGTTACTTTCCTACGAAGTGGTCTCCACCCGACTTTGCACACTTCGTCGTTCCCCTCTCGAAAGAAAAATTACATTCCAATGTTGTCAAAGTTCCCATCGTAAATTGATTTTTTCTGAGAAAAATCTCGGGCATTTCTAACTGAAAATTTCCCTGATTTTTCTTCTGATCTCATGCAAAAATCAGACAAAATTTGAGAAAAAATTGCGCAAGCACATTCTAGTAAAACATTGAATAGTTTGAGTCAATTTTGCAACCTCGGATTGGAGTTACGTTGCTTTGTGTTGGAAGGGACGACTTATCCCAAAGTTCCGTCAACTGTTGGAAGCATTCGGAAAAGTGCAGATGGTGAGATGCACCTTATTAAAAAAAAAAAGGGAGCCCTCAATAGAGTGTTTACATTCGGAAAACACACTGAAAAAATATTAAAAAAAAAAGAATAACAGATAAGAAAGAAAACCATCGATGTTTCAACTCCATCATAGGTACATATATTGAGATGCAATGAAGAGTGTATAGAGTTTTTTCCATTTTCGATGCTTCATACTTTCCTTAAGTGAAGGTATAGGCCATTTTACAGAGTTACCTACTTAAGTAGCACAGTGCAACGAAAATTGCTTTTTTAATTTCAATATAATTCTAATTTCAATAAAATCGATTTTTACCGATTTTAATCTACCAACAAAATGAGCTCCATGTGTCAGAAAGATGGGCAATATGCAATGCAATGAAAAATTACATCTAATTTCAATTTTATTGCAATAATGTTTAATAAAAGGAGCCCCTTCAAATAGGAGCTAGGCAACATACTCAACTCTCAGTGGAATTCAGGGCCGGATTAAGGGGGTGGCCACATGGGCCGCGGCCCATGGCGGCAAAATTAGAGGGCGGCAAATTTTGCAATTTTTTTAAATGCAGGTACAAAAAAAATCGGATTCAGAAAAAAATTACAATCAAGAAAAGGTGACAAAATCTCTCATTTCCTGAGAGTTCGTTAATTTCTAATTTTGTCGTATTTCGGTGATACAAAAGACTGCGCACCTTTAATTAGTTGAGTTAAGAGAGAAATCAAACACGTAAATCGGCCTGAAGCTGCGCGGCGCAAAGAGAAATGATGACGAGGACTTTAGATGAAAAGGAGAAGCCCTCGACGCGGCGCGGCGGTCGGCATATGTAACACATATTAGCGCCTACGAGACTGCATGAATACTTCACGCATTGCGTCAAACACAGCACGGTCAACAGCGGTCGGCGCGGCGTGAAACGCACAGTGCCTACAAGACTACATGAATACTTCACGCATTGCGCCAAACACAGTGTGGTCAACGCGGCACGGCGGCGGAAGTTAAAGTTATTAAACCACATTTATGTTTGTTCTTTCTTAATTTTTTAGTTCATTTCTTACGAATGAAAGGCCTTGTCCCCACAGAGATAGGTTTACGGAACTGAACTTTCGCGCGAAGTTCCGTGAACTTTTGCTAGTCGTGTTGACAGGGCTTATGCAAAAAATGTGTCCACACGAGTGAATGCGTCTTGTGCACCCTTCTCCCTCCGGCACGTTCACTTGATGGTTTTTATTGATGTTTCAAAATGAATGAGAAGAGGGCGGCAAAATACAGGCGGTCCATGGGCGGCAAGTAGGTAAATCCGGCGATTGAGGAATTGCAATATTTTTACAATGTACTTGCTACTTATTGAAATCTGTGCTACTCGGGTAATAGGTACCCTGCCTAAGCACTAAACCCAAATACGTCGCCCTCTGAATTAAGGGCATATCGACGGTGAAAGTCGGCAATCACATAACTCGGTTTGCGACGTCGCAGACTTCCTGTCATACTCTATTCTTTAAATGGAAAACTACTGAACGGCAATTCTTTAAAACTGTCATGATTTTTCTTCTCAATGCGAAGAAAATTCTGCAAAAACTTCAAGAAATAATGTCAATTTGTTCTCCTTTAAAAAAAATGACGTAGAGGCGGAGATTTTCAGACACCGCAAACGAGTTATGTGATTGCAGACTTTCACCGTCGATATCCCTATTCACACATGAGCCCCGATAAACACGGAGTCAAACGGAGATCAGGAATCACGTGGGCATTGAGTTACGCTCTACGTCAGAGGAACCAGGAGTAGCGTGCTGGAATAAGTATAAGTTCGGGTGGGGCGCGAGGGGGCGCTGCAAGGGTGACGGATTAGTCGGCGGGACGTGTTGTTTGATCAACGGCGAGCTTTTGTTTGAGGGAACCATGATAATGGGGTAGACATCACCTACCTCGATGCACCCATCGCGTAACCATCACGCTCATAGTTGATGGAAGGACGCGATGGCACGCGTTGCGTCGTCATCCTAATGCCGCAGTTCGGTCCCCGGAAAAGTCCGATCCGTGAGGTCGGTAGAATAACATGCCGGGTGTCTACTCTGCCGTGCTAAGGAAGAACGCCGTATGAACACTCGAGAGTTGCCAAATTTCCTTCAATGAAATGTTTATTTTGGAGAAAAATTGTGAACATATTTCCTTGAAATTTTCAGAAGTTTTGTATCAAATTACAAACAAAAATATCTAAGAAATTGGCAGGAAAATATTCAAAAAATTTCCTGAAAATCGGTGATTTATCAGGGGAAATTTGGCAACACCTGAAGGCTCATACGACGTTTTTCCTTAGCGCGGCAGTGCTCTGCCGTGCTGAAGAAGAACGGCTTACAACCTATGTTTCCTTAATTCGTCGGTAATGCGATCTTTTGTCGCCGCTTTGAATATTCGAACGTATTTGAATCAAAAGGAAAAACCTACGCTTAATATTAATAATTAATATTAAAACGTTCCTCACAGGACAATATACTTAAGCATTGATAACTCAAATTATCAAACTCATACTTATATCAAGTGCCCAATTATAAAGACAACTAAAAATAAATAGCATTCAATGATTATCACATAATAGTCTTAATTTTTCCCGTCATTTTTATTCTTTTCGTGAAAAGGAATGTGTGGCACTGCGACGCGAAGAGCATCTTGGAGGTTGGGCCGCGGAGTGGCCAGGGGGCGCACCCCACAGTGATTTCCATGCTTCGTCATTGAAAGACTCTTCAAGCATCACATGCACGTTGAACAATGCCAACAAAACGGGAGTCACCCGAGATACGCTGTTGCGCCTTCAATTTCATTTGATACTGTGCGACGCTTCTGGGTCGAAATAGTTGCTTGAGGCGCCGTGAACAAATAAACGCGCAGCATAGCTCCGTCCATTGAGCACGGACGGAAATCTTCCTTTTGAAGTTCGCCTTTCATTTCGCCGCATATGCAACAAATAGTTAATAATGCGCGCGAATAGTTATCCCAATTGTCCTCCAAGTCCCTTAATTATTACGAATATAAATTATTAAATTGTGAATGCAACAGAAAATCAACATCATTCAATGAACTATTTTGATCATTGTGATCTCATTTGATTGAATCGACGTACGGAAATGCCAAAAACGGTACCCGTTTGAAACAATATTTTTGGCGAGGGACAAGCGAGGGAAACGGCGTTTGCCAATCGGCTGAACTCATCTTCTGGCATCGCCTCTCTGCCAGGGACGGATTTACCTACTTGCCGCCCATGGGCCGCCTGTATTTTGCCTCTCCCTTCTTATTCGTTTTGAAACATCAATAAAAACGAAGAGGGGGAGGGGTGCATAAGACGTGTTTACTCATGTTGGACACATTTTTTGTGAAAGCCCTGTCAACAATACTACCAAAAGTTCACGAAACTTTGCGCGAAAGTAAGTTCCGTAAACCTATCTCTGTGTAAACAGGCCTTCCATTTATATGAAAGAACAAACATAAATGTGGTTCAATAATCTTAACTTCCGCCGCCACCGCACCGTCGCGCCGCACGCCGTGTTGCGCTGCCCGCATAGTGTTTGGCGCAATGCGTGAAGTATTCCTACAGTCTTGTAGGCGCTATGCGTTTCACGTCAACCGCTGCGCGCTGCTGACCGCACTGGTGTGTTCGACGCAATGCGTGAAGTATTCCTGCAGTCTTGTAGGCGCTATGCGTCTCACGCCGATCGCTGCTGACCGCACTGTCTTTGACGCAATGCGTGAAGTATTCGTGCAGTTATGTAGGCGCTAATATGTGTTACATGCCGACCGCCGCGCCGAGGGCTTCTCCTTTTCATCTCAAACCCTTCATCATCATTGCTCTCTGCGCCGCGCCGTTCCAGGCCAAATTGCGTGTTTGATTTCTCTCTTAAATTGACTATATCACCGAAAGACAACAAAATTAGAAATTACCATACTCTCAGGAAATGAGAGATTTTGTCGCCTTTTCTCGTTTGTATTTTTTTTCTGGATCCGATTTTTTTTTTATACCTTCATTTAAAAAAAATTGTAAAATTTGCCGCCGTGGGCCGCAGCCCATGCGGCTACCCCCTGAATCCGGCCCTGCTCTCTGCGTCGATTTCCGGATTTTGATTAGTTTCTCCTCCCTTTCAAAATGAGTTTTTTTAACTTTTCAAGGAGCTTCTTGGTTTTTCACAAAATTGTATGTAAGAAAAAATTAGGGGCTTGAAGAACAAGGCGCATAAATTAGGTTTTTACTATTTCGAGAAATACGTGTTTGAAGTTTCGAAAATGCAAGGGTCCTTTCGGCGGAAAGAGAGTTCGAACTGACTTTTTGATGTTTAAACATTGGAACTCGGGAGCAATTTTTTTTACAGAATATGCACTGCTAGGACTAGTTTCACGTGGAATAATTAAATCGGGATGTGCGAAAACCGCTAATGTCCATTTTTCCAGTCTTCAGTTTTTTTAGTTGATAATACTTCTAAAGAGTCG